ATATCTGGGCTCAGCCAGAGCTGGACACACATTTAAACATACTTAGGTTGTAGCCTCAGTCCATATTTATAGGCATATGTGCTAATATCAGATGGTACAAACAGCTAAATGCTATTAATTCTGTGTTTTTTCTCAACAGAAAGAGACAAACATCTCACCAAAAGCAGCCAGCACACTCAACAGCAGGATTCTCTGCATGTTTCCTGAAGTATCTGAGTTCTGACCTTTAATATCCTCCAGATATATATGCCCACCGGCTTTCCCATCGCTAAACAGAACAGGTTTTCTGATGCCCACAGGTGTGTGAATCCCACAGGCTTCACCACTGCCAAGGCCAGTGTACCAGAAGTGGAAATAACCTGTTTGTCCAGCTCTGGGGTCAGCAAACTTTGGCCAACAAGTGTGTGCACTATTTACTATGTGCACGTACACACCACTAGTATTTTATTATGTTTGACTGGTTATTAACACAAATATGGCAATAGTTGTTTCTTGTCCAGCATTCCAGAGTATCTTCCCTTGTGTTCAACTGAAGAAAGAGACTCAACTTTGGAAGAAGCAGAGGGTGAGTAAATGGTGACAGAACTTTCATTTGTGGGTGAACTGTCTTTTTTAAGTGAATGTGACTTCATGAATGAGGTCTGGCTGTTTCAGAATCCATGATCTACTAAATCAAACTGGATCTCTGATTATAACAGACAGCAAAACCTGTAATCTACTGATTCACAGTCGGCAACCAGCAGTAAATACATCGGTCACATTGTATTTGAGGGTCTTTATGTTGAATTAAGTTACATTGCATCTACATGCCAACTAATTCGTATTAGATTATAAGTAGACTAGGTTGGGTTAGTGTAAGTTGACATGTACTAGCAAAGTTTCTCATAGTCAGTTGAATATCTGCTGAAGGAGCAGAATCAGCTGATATTAAGCAGACAGTCTACTAATACTCAAATGGACCATCAAAATAAAGTGTTACCATAGGTATAGAATATAAAATGTGATCTTCTACTGCACAACATGCTACAAGTACGCAAACCAAATGTAAAGTGTAAAAACAAAATACATAAACTCAGCATTTCTGATGTGACGTGCCAATTCTACTATCAGTAAGTTACCTTTTGAGCAAAGTTTGTTTACACATCAGTCATATTTGAGGCGACTGAATCAGGTATTTAGAAGGTGGAGTTATTCTGTCTGACTTTACATTTTCTTCAATAGAAGTGAACCTGTTTTTCACTTGGACGTTAAAAACGCTACTCTCAAAAAATGGATTTTGCTGCTTGATCAAACTAATTTAAAATGAGTTGAAACAACACAATTCTTAAGTTGTTTTAGGAAAACTTAATCAGAATCAGAAAGAGCTTTATTGCCAGGCCCAGGTATGTCCACACATACAAGGAATTTGTTTTCATGACAGAGCTTCTACAGTGCTACGGAAATACAGAGACAGGACAAAAACAGATAATATATTTTAAAAATAAAAGTAAGTTGTGAATGCAAATATACAAATTGACAAGATCATGTACAGGTATATTACTCTATACAATGTTATATGTGCAGCTTTTATGTGCAAATTGGCATGTAAAGTGTGTTGTCAAATAAGTGTATATGTGTTTAAAAAGTGGATAGGAAGTAGTGATGTTTTCAAGTGTTCATGAGATGGATTGCCTGAGAGAAGAAACTGTTTCTGTGTCTGGCTGTTCTGGTGCACAGTGCTCTGTAGCGTCTAAAGGTAAAAGTTACCAGAAGGTAAAAGTTCAAAGAGGCAGTGTGCTGGGTGTGAGGGGTCCAGAGTGATTTTGACAGCCCTTCTGCTCGCTCTGGATAAGTACAGTTCTTGTAGAGTAGGGAGGGTTGTACCAATTATTCGCTCAGCAGTCCGAACTATTCAACGTAGTCTTCGAAGGTCAGATTTGGTAGCTGAGCTAAACCAGATGTGCAGATGACTGATTCAATGATGGAGGTGTAGAACTGTTTCAGCAGCTCCTTTGGGAGGTTGAACTTCCTCAGCTGACGAAGAAAGTACAGCCTTTGTTGAGCTTTTTTGACATTGTTTTTATTGACAACATTTTTTTTTTTATGTTCAATCCACTAGTAAAAACGATCCACTTGTTCATTCATTCATTTTCTTGTTGGCTTAGTCCCTTTATTAATCCGGGGTCACCACAACGGAATGAACCGCCAACCCATCTAGTACGTTTTTTACGCAGCAGATGCTCTTCCAGCTGCAACCCATCTCTGGGAAACATCCACACACACACTACGGACAATTTAGCCTACACCATTCACCTGTACTGCATGTCTTTGGACTGTGGGGGAAACCGGAGCACCCGGAGGAAACCCACGCGAACGCAGGGAGAACATGCAAACTCCACAGAAACACCAACTGAGCTTAGGCTCGAACCAACGACCCAGCGACCTTCTTGCTGTGACGCGATAGCACTACCTACTGCGAGAAAATGTTGTCTTGTCACTGGTCAATGGAGCAAAATGAGTATAGTCAGATCCCAGTTGCAGCCAGGCTTTAATGGTATTTAAATGAGACAAAATGTGAGTGTAATACAGTAAAAACTTCACAAAGAAAAGGAGGAGACAGGGACTGGCAAGCTCTTAACAATCTTTGATTCTTTAATTAAAATAAATACATAGAAAAAGGAAAGTGGACGCCCCCTTACAACTTTTAAACTAATTTCCCAGGCCTGGTCCACTTTTATTGATCATCTTCAACATCAAACATTCAATGTTTCTGAAAGAATGGTGTAAATTCACCATAAAGGCTTACATAAAGAAACACTTTTACTATATATATATATATATATATATATATATATATATATATATATATATATATATATATATATATAACTTATATATATATAAGGCTTCTTTTTGATCTTTAATAGCTCTCATAATGTATTTTCCCCGTTTACTAATGTTGGAACTGAGATCTATATGACCCCAACTACATGAAGAGTAATTGTGAAAAATAAATATACATTTTACTCATACAGATTATGTATCTTTATTTTGCTTGTTTACTTCTGAGCTATTTATTGCTGGTGTGTTTTGCGAGAATAGAAGTCATTTTTAAATACATTACCTCAAAAATCCTAAACTATACCATTACCTTATATGTGAAATATAATTTTTTTAATTAAATTAAATAAATTTGTTTCTAGATCTAGGTGTTACGTGTAAAATTCTGTCATCTGTTGCTTAGTGATGAAACCAAGTGTGCCGCAAGCCTGCGTTTGAGTGAAGGTCTCGGCCGTTAGATCGCCCCCTGGGGGCTGGCTGCAGTACAAGTCATAAAGCCCGCCTCCTCCGTGTTAATGAAGGAGACTTGAGCCCAAATAAAAAAATTTATTACACTTGCAATAAAATGTCCCGAAAGATGGTTCTGGTCGATTAAGGCACTGGTTATTGTGCTGAAATAGGTGCAGATCCTCATTTTTGTAAACAGTTTGTTTTTAGCAGTAATTTAATGCTGGGCGTGTCATCGTGATTGCTAGCTGTGATTGACAGTTTCTCAAAGCGCGGCGTCTGAGCTTCGGCAGAAGACTGAAGTGTTATTACTCGATTTCTGTGATATTTTACTATGACAAAATGAGTTCAGCAGTAAACTACAGTTTCTGACATACATGATCTGGTGGAACACTGTTTATTCGCTAAGGTCAGAGCTTTTTTCGGGCTTTATTAGTTTGCTAATACAAGCCTAGCCACCCAGATAGCAAAATACACTGGGGCCAGTTCTTGCCTGCCGGAGACTTACCCCTCAGACTGACTACCTCTGCTGGACCTACTCCGGATGCCTGGACTCACTGCCCGATTCCAGCCTGAGTCAATTGAGCCAGATGCGGCGGCCGAGCGAGCAGGCGCTGCCGCATGCGAGCCGGAATCAGCCCGCGACGCCGCGACTAGGTTATGCGCTGATGCCCGGAGCTGGCGCGATTGAATCTTCATTATATAAAACCCTCACATTTGTTAACGTTATTACACCCATTTTTGTTGATATAACAACAAACGCATGCTACTATGTGAACGCAAAGTGTATCACTGAGTTTAACCTTTGAATAAAGATGCAAACAGCATAGCAATTATTTAAATAAAGGACAAAATAAATAACAATAAACCTGTATCGATTGCACAAGTATTAAATAATAATAATAATAAATACGAAAATGACAATAAAACTGCACAATAAAATAAACCCATTTAAGTACGGGGAAAATACAGGAGATCGTTAGCAGTAATTCTCTTTGTGTTTAAATAATAATCTCCACGTTGATCTCCTGTAAGGTTATTTGAACTTGCTTTATAGGACGTCTCTGCATTTTAAGTTTTGGCATGTTATTAAGTGATCTACTGAATTTGCTGTTATAAATCATTATAAGGTTCTTGAAATCGAATCTTATATAACCTAATAGAGCTGTAAATGTTAGATATTATTTATTTACATCATTTACTGTTGGCGTTTTATTTGAACACTCCAGCTAACATTAAAAAGAATGTAAATTCCTCGTTGCCAGATATAATGAAGGCATCGAATAAACCAAATGAAAACGGAGGCAAAAAAATTAAATAAATAAACAATTCAAGCGAAAATGAATAAACAATATACTAGTGATGTTACAGCAGATAGACGTTGTATTAATAGTGCAAAGTTTTTTTGCACAAATTGACAAATTGCAGGGTTGGGATGTGTAAATATCCTGTTGATATTTAGTAATCTTGCTGTATTTATCTTCTAAACGCACGATTGTTCCCGCATGGTAAATCGTTATGGTGTGTAGGCTATATTTTGGGTTCTGTTGATGGCTAATTAAAAATAAAAACCTTTCTAAAAATGAATGTGTTGTTTATATGTTATATTGTTCATATTTTACAAGTGTTATTTCTACCCCTATGAAGATAACAAATACCAACAACAAATATAACAATAAGAGAATATATTATTTGTGCTCATATTCAGGCTAGAGTGTATAAAAGATCGTTTATTTCTGCAGTCCACCATGTATTGCTTTTATTAAAGTTTAACAGCTTACATCACACCGTTTTTAAACCGTATATTATTGTGTTTTTTTAATGTAAGTGCTTCTATTTACATCAGTGAGCGTTTGTTATAGTGCAGACACCGGCAGTCGAGTGAGAAGTTCGGGGGCGTGGTTGATTTTACATAAAGCGTTTGGTTGGAAGCTCGACTCCGCTCATTATCGCGGCTCCTCCTCTGGCTCCATCAGACAGTCCTTCTGCGCATGTCTGGCTCCAATTTCAGCAGTCTTTTGCGACAGTTTGTGCCCGTCAAGCAGGCGTTTTGCCCTCAAGGCGTTCAATGGGAAAAGGGGCTGTCGCGTCGTCCATATTTTTTACAGTCATTGGATGAAACTAAAAGCATGACAGTTTGCTGGATAAATAAAATAACTGGATAAGACGAAGTCAAGATTAATTAGTCCAATGCTGCATGTGAATTATTTTGTATTTCTGGTCGTTGCAGTTGTTAAAAGGTAATTGGAGTATTTCTTCCTTTCATCTTCTCAGTTCCCAATGATCTGTAACCAACAAAATAGCACAATCAGTTTAAGTAGACTCACAAAAAGCTTACTATAATGACAATATGAGCTAATAAACTGGACTCACAGCATTAATCCAACTGTTGTAGGCTGACACACGAGTAAAGACTGTTGGCTTCTTGTTGGTATTACAACCTGCAGCTGACACAAAGCTGGTCACACCGTGGACAACATACTTACCGTTGACCAGACAGTTCAGAGGGCCACCAGAGTCACCCTAAAATAACAACAGCAGCCAAAATGACACTGACATACAGATTGAGTAATCATGAAACAGTAGAGGCTGCGCAAGTTAACAAATTATTAGTTTAAAGCATTAACTAATTAATGCTAACAAGTTTTTATGAATGGTTTTAAAGAATGGTTAAACAGTGGCTTTGGATGGACGTCATCACACATCTCAGTGAGAAGATTTGTAATAGGCCTAATGCTGGGTTCACGCCAAACACACATCACAAGTCACTTGTTCTAGCTTACTTGTGTAACCCTGCCGGTCCTACGCCACCCAACCCGCTCCGAGCTGGTATAGAACCGGCAACCTTCCGCATGGGAGTTGGGTGCTCTACCAAGGAGGCTAAAGACCATGGCCTCTAGCGTCTGTCGCTAGAACACCTTTAGAAGTCAGAAGAGTGAGGTTTACCTGCACAGCACACACTAGCTGGCCTCCGTTACACTCACCCCCCTAAACCTCACTCCCATCCGGGTCACGGCACCAATGTAACCCTGTCGGTTCTACGCCACCCAACCCGCTCCGAGCTGGTATCGAACCGGCAACGTTTTGCATGGGAGTTGGGTGCTCTATCAAGGAGGCTAGAGCACCTTTAGAGGTCATAGGAGTGAGGTATACCTGCACAGCACACACTAGCTGGCCTCCGTTACACTTGCAGGGGGTTTTTCACTTCAAGAAAATGTTTTGCTTGAGTTGAATTACTTGTACTTACACAGAAGATGTAACTGAGACAAATTCCCAGAGTTTGTGCTAAGTGTATTGTACATTTTGGATTATTTGTGCCAATAGTCAGCAACCAGCAAGTGGAAATGTGTCTATATCTATGTCTTTCCTTTTACTTTTACCTAGAGTTTGTTTGTAATCTACTCAAGCAAATTCTTATTTTAACTTTTGGTGTGAACCCACTATATTATAATACTTACACTGCAAGATATGGTGTTGCATTGAATTCATTATCTAAAGGGAAGTAAAGCTTTCTCATTCTCAGGTAAATAATGAGTAGTGAACACTTTGTAGGAACCCTATAAGTCTGAACATCGTTCAGAAATAAACCTCCTAATTCAAGGGTGATTAAACTCTGTCCTGGAGGGCTGATGTCCTACATATTTTAGTTCCAACCCCAATTAAAAACACCTGAACCATCAAATCAAGCTCTTTTTAGGTATACTAGACACTTCCAGGCTTGTGTGTTGAAGTTGGAGCTAAACCATGCAGGACACCGGCCCCCAGGACAGAGTATGGACACCCTTGCTCTAATGTATCGAGCTGGTTATCTGAGAACAATGTGGTGCAAGGACAGGAACTGAGAACCACTGATGGAAGATCGCTTGCTTATCATTTAATGCCTTGGTGGTTGTAAATTGCTTTGGTTTCACATTGATTGGATTACATTAATCTTCAAGTTAAGATTTACAAGATGTTTATAATTGTTAATAAGTAAATGGAATCTTGCTTTAAAAACACCTCAGATATTTAAAGTGTTATTGATCTTTTGTTCATACACCAAAACTTTTAAAAAGCGTGCATTACAATACTTTTGAACTCATTGTTGAATTTTGTGTATACGAATGTGATTCATCATGATTATTGGCAGATAAATATTGTGATTAATCACGATTTTAAAATGTAAGCTCAGCACTAGAAACAATATTTGTTGTCACCTGGCATCCAGACACCTCGCCGCCACCAGAGCAAATCATGGTGTCCTTCACGATGCTTCCCCACCAGTCGCTGCGAGAACATGTATTGTGGTCGACCACGGGCAGCAAAGCTTGTTTCAGCTGCGATGAGGTTGACCCACCAGCTACATGAAAATCATACCCATGAAAGAAGAGAGAAATTATTCAGCATATGTTAAAGATCAAAGATTTCAGTATGTTAATATACACTGACTCTGTGTGCGACCCCAGCCAGTGATGTAACATTCGTTGTTGTGGGGCAGAACCTGTCCAGCGGGTGGCAGTGTGGCCAACTGCACATATGAGTTCAGCGTGGCATCGGTGGACAGTTGCAGAAGAGCAATATCATATCTGAGAAACACAGAACAGTCTGCATTTTAATATCTGATGCTATAATGGGTGCTAGAACTTGGTAAGTTAAATCTACAATTCTGTACAATTAATTTTGTCGCATTGTGTAAGGTGTAATTGTAAATCTTAGACATGTCAAATGTTATTGTTAATTGCTGAATTGTGCAATTAGTTGATAAGAATAAAACTTTTTAAAGAGCATCAAACATTTTTTGTGTTGAATTGTTAAGCCGATCATTATTTTACATGGGTATTTTAGAAAGGTACATTCATGTAAAGTGTAATTAACTATGCTTCCATTCAAAGATGTGGAATTAAACCTAGTGGTGGAACTAGCTTAAATGGCACCCTTGGTGAATCACCCCTTACAGTATATGCCAATCAACTCCTGCCCCCTACCCTCCTTCTTCAAAACCATCTAGTTAAACGTACAATCTAAAAAAAAAAAATTGTTGTTTTGACCAAATTTTGGGTAAAATATGGACAAAACCTGAATTGGAATTATTAAAATATTTGTATTTATTATAAATACAATTATTATTAATGTTATAATTAAACTATTATTATTATTATAAATAGCAGTAAACAATCCTAAATGTAACTGGAAAGCAATATAAAGACAATGTAAACTGGAGTGATATGCTAGAATCACTTAAGAAATATATTACATTAATTATGACAACAATAGAATACAAACAATATATGTTTTAAACAATTATCTGTTCATTTTAGACCCGACTCAAGGCAGAGAATTCATGTTATTCAGTCTTACCTTCCTGACTCGATGCCTTCTTTCTGTTTCATGCTTAGTCAAAATAAGATCATCATCAAATTATAAGCTTCAGTTTCGTCAATTGTTAACATCTCGTGTCAAAAAAATTACAGAAAAGGCCTTTACCCTGGTTTCAAAGAGCATGAGCGGTGCATATTTTATCGGGTACATGTAAACGAGCAGAAGCTTGTGTGAAGTGCGCTGAAATCGTTTTCTGCGCGCGTGCATGCGTCAGTTTGCTTTACTGTTTTGGTTGTACATAGAGAATAACAAACTTGTGCTTGCAAAAGATGCCAAATGGCCCCTATTTTTTATTCTGGGATTACCACTCTAAATTAATACATTTGCATAAAGTAAATTGTATCTCTCAAAGCTTACACAGATGATTTTTACTGGGGCATGTTTTTTGTTTTGCATCATCTGCCCGTGCCACCCTCAGTAAGATGCTGCCCTGGGCGATCGCCTAAATTCATAAATCCGTCACTGATTTAAACCTGTGCAAAGCTAGAATTTAAAATCTTGCAAATATAGCAACAATTCCATCCAATAAGTCGAAGAGAACAAAATCGTCTCTTCCTGATAAACTAGCGAAGAAAATTGGAATTTGCTGCAGTATGAGAAGCCACTGAGAGTCTTTTTTTCTTGTTTAATATAACACTTCTCCCTCAGAAGACGAAATGCAATGATCACGTGATGGCTTTTGGAGGCAGAAGACACTCTTTGGGACCACAGATGTTCAGGACAGTTCTGGAGGTAATAACATTGTCCCACTTTTATGACAAACTTTGGCTGAGGGATTTTAGAATGACCAAACAACATTTCAGATATTTCACATTGTGGTTGATCTGCTGGTTGGTCCATTAATGGCATTCAATTGCCTTAATTTTTGTTATCACTTAATCAGGTAAATCAAAATTACTTGACCATTTTGATGTGCATGCTGGAATTTATCTGGCAAATGTGTTTCCTTGATAACTTATGCAAGTTTGTTCACTCACCCAGAAGACACACTGTCGGTGTTCCAGTTGGGGTGGATATAAACACGGCTGACAGTCAACGATTGCTCATGACCCTCGTGTTTAGTGATGTCATGGTCTCCCAAGATAACACGCCAATTTCTCGGGCTGCACAAGAAACACATTCAGATAAACACAGGTAGAGTCAGCAAACTAGTGTGCGCATATTGATATATTATTTCCTATTTGTCTTAAAGGTGCTCTCTTCATTTTCTCAGTGTCTCAATTTTAGAAATGATGATTCTTAGCATCTACAAACAGAAAACCCCACAGATCGTTACATGTCAACGCAGTGGGCGGCAGTCAACACCCATCCTGGTCTGATCAGAGTCCCACCACAGGTGTGAAAGTAGTCTAAGGCAGACAGAAACTGGAGAGAGATCTGAGAAAATGATGGTGATTTTAGTTAGAAATCTATTGTAATTCATTGGAGCTTCAGATGCTGTCTTGGCATCACGCTATCTGTGTGTGGTTCTTGTGGTTTATTGATAAAAAGTCCCAGTTAGAAATTAATTACTTATATAATGTGCCAAACATTTGCATTACAGACATTTAAAGAGGTTTCATGTGTCACTTTAAGAGAAACGTACAAGTATGTAATGTTTAAGTAATGCTCATTTAATAACACAGCAACACATTTTCTATTGTACAATGAACAGGACCTTAACCCTGTCTCACTTTGCTGTGGAAATAAACCATCAAAACGGGAAAGATAGTGAGTTTTAAAAGTTTAGCTGAGTTAAAATATCGTACCTGCCAGGGCCAGGAGTTGGGTTTTGCGACCTCTCCACCAACAACCCTCTCCTCAATGGCCAGATCCTCCAGATATCTGGGCTCAGCCAGTGCTGACACACAAACATATGTAGACATACTAAGATCCTAGCTTGAGCTCATATAGATTCATAGACATCATATCGTACATAATGTAAAATTTAAGCTAAATGCTATTGATTCTAGGGTTTTCTCAATGGATAAAGAGAAACATCTTACCCAAAGCAGCCAACGTGCTCAACAACAGGATCCTCAGCATTTCCAGTCTGTCTGGACTTTCTGAACTTAACCATTGTCCATATACTGTATGTATATATACTCGCAGTCATTCACAAGCTGGACAGAACAGGTTTTTTTTTTTTTTTCGCCCACAGATGTGCGGTTCACACAGATTTCACCACTGCCAAGGCCATGAATAATCATGTTTACAGTATATGACTCAAGGTTCAGCAATCTTTTGGTCATATATCAAATAACACCGGTCACAAACATGGACCCAAGCAATCCTCAGGACCTCTGAAATTCATCAACTTCCCCAATCATTGTACCAACTGACCACTAGTCTAACAGAGGACGAAAATACTTACTGGGGCAAAGGAATACAGTGGGTTTTTACTTCAGTGCCCAAACCATTTCACAAGGGTCAAACCAAATTGGCCAATTTGATCTCTCTGTTATAAGGAAGAGTCTTGCAGAGGGCTAATGCCATTTGGGACTCAATTGGACCACTCACATCTTTGCTGATTATGTCAAGAAGTAATTTTAAAGAAGTATTTGGGTAAACAAATGATTTCACAGGGGCAAGGGCAGAATGAGAGGGCAAAAAGCTGGTAGAGTGGTGTCCTACATGGATATGACAAGTAATGCAATCAGATTGAAGCTAGTGAGCATGTGTCGGCATTGTCTTCTTAGGTGCATTTAATTTATTAAATAAGGAAAAGACTCATGCAGCTTCACCTACAGTTGCAAATTCCTTTTTTCTTTTTGTTATGTGGTGCCAGATTATCAGGAAGTGACGATTTCTTTTTTCTTTGACTCGTTGGATAGGAATGCTGCAGTATTTGCAAATCTTTTATGTGATATTACATGTTTGCACATAGATTTTATTCACATGTTTGGATGGAAACATGGCTTATGACAGAGTAGGCACAGTTGCAGGCCACCACAGAAAGGGGGTGAAGCTGGAAACCACCATGGCAGAGGGGGCCAGAGTTGATTCCACCACAACAGAATAGGTATACTTAAAGACCACCATAACCATGCAAATAGAGCTGGAAAACAACATGGTAGTGCATGTAGACAACAAGGTGCTTTGTGTTAAATTGGAATATGTTTTTTTCAAACCACAGTGCACAGTCAAAACATCAAACTGGCGTGTGCCCATGGCAGATTAATGCTCAACATTCCCCAAATCTTAGTCCAGCAGAGCATGAGTTGGATTGGCTGGCCAACAAGTTTGATCTATATCGGCCTCACCTTGCAGCATAAAGGATATCAAGCATCTGTGGTCATCATTTTCAAACCTTACTTTCAAAAACCACAAGTCCTGTGCCTCAGTGGTTCGTAACTGTTTTGACATAGAGGACTGACATATTACCACATGAGGCAGGTGGTCATAATGCATACAGCAATGCTCGTCTGTGTACTGCTGGCATTTATATCCCATGTCTGTCCTCTAGTGGACAGCTTATTTTTGCTTAAAATATGCTGTAATGTAACTGTACAGACTTTCATGCTAATGTACAAAACTTAATTTGACTTCAGACCCCTGATTTAAATGTATGCAGCAGAAATACAAAGCATTGCCTGAAATTTAGCATTGACCAACAAAAACTTCTTCTATTCTGTTCTGTTTGATCTTAAATGCTTAAATGCATTGCTACGCTAATAACAATAGGCTTTTCAACAAGATGTTGGTATGGCTAAAAAAAAGCTGATATGGCTAAAGTAAGAATAGTTTAGTTACTCTAATAACTCTGAAAGAAAAATTAATGAATGCCTTTCTGATTTAATTTACAGTTTTGCTGATTTAACTAGGCTCACACGATCCTATTCACATCCATGGGATGGCTATTGAACCTGTCTCATCCTTCAAGATCATGGGAACCCACATCTCAAAGGATCTGTCCTGGACTGCCAACACCTCCAGCCTGGTCAAGAAGATTCACTAGTGCTTCTTTTTCCTAAGGTAATTTAAGAAGAACCAGCTTAATATCTGGTATGGAAGCTGCTCTGTTGCTGAGTGTAAGGCACTGCAGCGGGTGGTGATAACTGCCCAACGAACCACAGGAACCACACTTCCAGCCACCGAGGACATCCAGAAGAAATACTGTCTAAACCAGGGGTGGGCAAACTCGGTCCTGGAGGGCCGGTGTCCTGCACAGTTTAGATCCAACTCTAATCAAACACACCTGCTTATAGATTTCCAGTAATCTTAAAGACACTGATTAGCATGTTCAGGTGTGTTTGATTAGTGTTGGAGCTAAACTCTTCAGGACACCAGCCCTCCAGGACCAGGTTTGCCCACTCGAGGGCTGTTTCTCAATATGCGTTCTTCAGCGGTCTTGCATCCTCGTGTTCTCGTGTATTGTCATCATCAGCTGCCTAAGTTCAGTTCCAATACTCAAGACCGCAAGTACTGAGGACGAGTGAAACTTCCCGGATGTGATCTTGATATCGAGGACGCACTGATGAAGACTTCAGCAGCGAACTCGCTCTGGAAGTCCCAGAAGTCATTGCGACTGGAGGTGGGAAGCGCAGCATTTTATTTAGATTTATTATTAAAGTTCAGAGATGTCACTTATTTACCTCAGGAGTTTCCCTAAATGAAACGGTGAAAGTAAACATTAACATGAATATCTTAATAAAGGAATAAACACATTAAGGGTGTTTGTTTACTGAAATTCGTATTAAAATCTGTTTTATTTATATTGTGCAGAGTATATTTATAATGTTTTTATGCAAAGTATATATTTTGAAAAGGGGGACAACAATAAATCGTTGTATGAGTGCTGTAATGTTTAAATATGTTCCATTTAAAACGCCTGAAGGTCATGTGACCATCAGGAAAAACGCAGCATCCCATTTCTCAAAGGACGCATTCTCTGCCCTCGCGGTCTCCTGAGTTCGTTCTTCCGAGCACACCTGGCAAGACCGATCTCCACAAGAACGCAAGTCTGTTCTCTGCGTTCTTGGAATTGAGAAACAGCCCTGGTCTAAACCAAGCATGCAGTATTCCTAAGGACTCCTCTCACAGACTGGCACTTCAAGCTCCCCCGGACAAAAACCAGCCAACTGATGATTAGTTTTTGCCCCCAGAACTGTCTCTTTTTTTGAACTCTAATCTAAAAATATAAATAATAAAGAGATAAATGATCTTATAAATTATTTAAAAGCAATTCAACGTTAGATGATGTTTATTGTGTTTCTGGCAAATGCAAATGTTGAAATTTAAACATGATGTTTGTCTTTCAATTATCTCATTTCCCAATGACCTGAAACAAACAAAACAGCACAAGCTCATTAATAGACTCGTAAATTGTTAATTCTAAAGTAAATACAAGCTAATGGATAGTACTCACATCATTAATCCAGCTGATGTAGGCAGAGACACGAGAGAAGACTGTTGGTCTCTTGTTGGTATTGCAACCTGCTGATGACACAAAGCTGGTCACACCATGGACGACATACTGACCGCTGACCTGACAGTTCAGAGGACCGCCAGAGTCACCCTAAAAAAAAAAAAACAGAAGACACAAAATCAAATGACTTGCCAAACAGTTCATAATCAGTTTAAGAGTCAGTCTTTCTCACATGACATCCTGCAAGAGTGCCATCGCCACCGCAAATCATGGTGTTCTTCACAGTGCTTCCCCACCAATCGCTGCGGGAACAAGTATCGTGGTCCACCACGGGCAGATATGCCTGTTTCAGCTCGGCAGAGAGTGACCCACCAGCTGCATAAAGATCACATCCATGAGACAAGCAAAGTCAATGGAGGTCAGTAAATACAATTGATTTTAGGCTGATTTGTATTAAGTCAAAATTACTCTGCGTGCGGCCCCAGCCACTGATGTAACAAGGGTTGTTGTTGGGGAGAACCTGTCCAGAGGGTGGCAGTGCGGCCAGCTGCACATATGAGTTCAGAGAAGCATCGCTGGACAGTTCCAGAAGAGCAATGTCATATCTGAGAAAACAGAACAGACAGTAATCATAGATGTTCATGTTTAAATAATTGAGTCTTGATGGTCAGATTGATTGACAGCAAGTCAGAGCCCTCAAAACTCTGATATTCTGTTCCGCATAACTGTCCACCATTTTTTTCTGGCTAAATGTTGTAGAGTTTCACTGGAGATTAACATGAAAAGTGGTGGAAATGTGCTTGTACGGGACTTGCAATGCAGACAACAGGTACCCAGAGACACAGGGTAATATACAGTTTACTCTTTTCCCAAAAATTAGAGAGGTGTATGAAATGTATATGTTCGTGAAGACAGCCCTACCATCAGCTGTCAATCATTGGTCCTGTCACTTGCCGAACTAACAACTCATTACTGATACTCAATACTAATCCTTTCTGTTATAAGATTGGTACAGCCTGCATAACTTTAGTTTATAAAGATGTGATTTGTGATTATCAGTGGGCACTTTCATTTTTCCAGAAATGATTCACATACTGAAAATTTGTCGGACACAGACGAGGTACAGGGTTTATAAAGAGTCAACCACTGCCAGAGTAATGTATGTTTACACACCCAGAAGACAAACTGTTGCTGTTCCAGTTGGGGTGGATATGAGCACGGCTGACACTTATATACTGCTCGCGACCCTCATGGTTGTAGATGTCATGGTCACCCAAGACAACGCGCCAAGTTCTAGGACTGCACAGGAAACACATTCAGACAAACACAGGTAAAGTCTTTATATTCTCCTTCATCCTATTTGCTTTGATTTTGTCTTATAGGAGTGGTATTGTTGTATATTTAATATGTGAATGTTTTCTTAACATTTACAAACAGAAAGTCAAGGAATCATAACCTGTCAACGCAGTGGGCAGCGGTCATCACCCATCCTGGTCTGATCAGAGATCCACCACAGGTATGATAGTAGCTGCTTCCAGACAGATACTGGAGAGAGATCTGTGTAAAAGTCATACATTTTAGTTAGACATTTTAGGGGGAAACTGGAAAAATCCATTTCAATTTGAAATAGTATATTAAAATTGATTAAAAATAACTTTTTGGACAAATTTTTTGTAAAAATACAGCTTCAGATGATTTATTCTGCCATTTATGGCCATAATGGTAGAGCTATGATGACTGTAGCCAAGTTTAACCCTGACAGACAACCACCAACTTGCTCCGAGGGGTGCTCTAACAGTGTTTTTTCTGCAACAAGCCCAGTTTAAATTCGGGTCACGACCCCAATGTAATCCCATTGGTCTGACACCCACCAACCTGATTTGAGAAGGCTTGTATTGGCAATTACAACATGAGCACCTCTTAAGGTTTTCAATCACCAGCCGGTTTCTGTTTCATAAACATGTTTTCAGTTAACAAAAAAAAAAAAAAAATGGTAGTAGCTTGTTTTGCTAATATTCCAATTAATGTCACCTCAAAGTGAAATTTCTGTCATCGATTATTCTCCATCATGAAATATTTCGACTCATAAGACTGAACAAAAACACAGATACACTTTCATGACATCTGAAAGATTTCAATCTCTTTACTGAATGTTTATTTACACCAAAATGGGATGCTTTAAAAATATGCAAAGAGACAATAGATAAATTAATAGATAAATCCATATTGATTAAACAGTTTAGTTTTCAGAAGAAATTTGATTGCTTGTTGCAGTTTTAGTTTGCTTAAACGAGATAATAAAGTTTATTTTGAGTCTGTCCTTTCCTGTCTAATCCTATTTACACACTTTTATTCACACATCCAAACAGGTTGTATAGGTTGGAAATGAAATGATAGTGAGGGAATGAATAAATTTTAATTTATTTTGGGGTGAGCTAACCTTAAAGCTATATCAATATTATTATCTGTACCTTCAAATTTTCAGACGTGTTTTTAAAATATTGGTTAAACAAACACTAAATTATTGTTTTATCACTCTGCAAGCATTCTAAAACAAGTAATAACTAAAAATTAATATTATAAACCAACCATGTTCTATTGATATGCCTAGAAAATGTCAAAATACCATAACAGAACCTCACTATAACTTTAGTCAAATTGGTGAAAATGTTTAACCTTCATTTAATGATTAAACTGCTAATATAAAACGGATTGACAGCTTGATTGCATTAACCTGAAACAACCATGTCCACTTAGTTAATAGATATTGATATTTAATAAATATTGCTTTAATAAATTAATATTTTCTTTGATTTATTGTCAAAAGTGTTTTACCTGCCAAGGCCAGGAGTTGGGTTTTGCCACCTCTCCACCAACAACCCTTCCCTCAATGTCTATATCTTCCAAATATCTGGGCTCAGCCAGCACTGGATTGTAAAAAAACAAAAAACAAAAAAAAAAAACAAAAAAAAAAACAATTTACAAACAGATTTGTGATTTTTCTCCTGAGAAAGAGAGAATCGTCTTACCTAATGTCGCCAGCACACTCAACAGCAGGATTCTCAGCATGTTTCTAGTCTTTCTAGACGTTTGGTCTCTAAACGTCTCCATCATCTCTATATATGTATGCCCAGAAATATTCACAGCGCTAGGCAAAAACAGGTTTTTGGATGCATACAGGTGTTTGAATCACACAGATATCAGCACTGTCAAGGCCAATGTGCCAGATACGAAATAAACTTGTTTATTCAGCTCGGGAATTGGAAATGTTTTGGTCATGGAGTTATTAATGTTTCTGGTTAATCACCGTGCCATTCACCAGACACATGCACACGCCAACACTTATTTTCCCACTGTATGCGTCTGTGAATGAATAAGTATTGAACATGTCATGTTTTTCCTGGAAATAATCTTTCTAAAGGAGCTGTTGACATGGAATTAAACCAGATTTTCTTAAAACCCAAACAGTACAAATATAAAGATAAAACAATTGAAATGTATTTAATACTTTATATAAAGTCAGGTGATTAGCTGGACCATTCTAGCTTTAATTTCTTTCTCTGGAAGCGTTTGAGAGTTTGCTTGCTGTGTTTTGGATCATTGTCTTGCTAAAATGTCTAACTTTTTCACCTTCTGTCAGGGAAAAATATCCCAGATTTAATTTGCAGGTGAACACAAATTTATTCCTTTCAAAAATCAACAAAAATACTCAATTATATTACAAAAATACAAAATTATCATTCAGAAGGCTAAAACGAAAGCTAACTAAATAGGGGAGAAAATCAAGCAGCAAAAGGTGAAAGTGAGGATCGCTAATTGATAAACAAACGGAACAACAAGGCAGGGAAAATGAACATGCGGACAGTGAAGCACATGGCCAGCTGTCAAAACAAACCCACAAGCTCCACAACACACAATGACTACACAAACATGTAAGTCAAGATGCTCTCGTCACACCTTCATCATCCTGCTAATGCAGATGTTGGACTGAAGCAGCTAATATTTACTTACAATGATGAATGGCCGAAGGTTGCTGAATAATAACTGAGAGATTTCAGCTGCTGTCTTGGCTTTCTACACCTCCTTCCATGTGTTCAATACTTTTACCTGTATCAAGTCAACAGAACCTTTATAAATCATTTCTGAGAAAAATGGTGATGTGTTTAATACTTATTTTTCCCGTTGTATGTCATTAGATTTAGACTAACCACGTGAAAATCTGTATGACCTACTTTAGTCCACAAAACAGGCATTGAATTATGCAGGCAAAAGGGGTCTTATAATGGGTGAGCAGAGGGTCTTGGGCCAATAACCACCTGGACCCTTGCTGGGCCCTTGCTTACAACTGCTAGCTGAAAATCCTGTTTTGTGACATTTTCTAGCAAACTGGAAACTATTTTACACATCCTCTACCTACCTGTTTCTTTGTCAACTGTGTTAAATTATCTTACTATTCATTTTGTGAATGGGTCATGTCTTTCGATCAGGTCCTTAACAGAATGAACTGGCCACAACTACATGGGCAGATCCACCATAAACAAATGCTCTAGTCATTCCCAAGTCAGTCAAGAGTGTTCCAGTCACTGCAGAGGGAGTCAACCTCTTCCAGTCTCTCCAGAGTAAGCCAAGATTGTTTCAATCATTCCCAAGTAGGCCAAGACTGTCGCAATAACTGCAGACTCAGCCACAACTGTTCAAGTTACTCCAGAGACACCCACAAAAGTTCTAGTCACTCCCCAATAAGCCAAGACTTTTCCAGTAACTCCATACTCAGAAAAAAGGGTTCCAGTCACTGCAGAGGGAGTCGAGACTCTTCCAATCTCTCCAGAGTAAGCCAAGATTTTTTCAATCATCCCCAAGTAGGCCAAGACTGTCCCAGTAACTACAGACTCAGCCAAGACTGTTCAAGTTACTCCAGAGACACCCACAGTTGTTCCAGTCACTTTCCAATGCGCCAAGACTTTTCCAGTAACTCCAGTCTCAGGAAAGAGTGTTCCAGTCACTGCAGAGGGAGTCGAGACTCTTCCAGTCTCTCCAGAGTAAGCCAAGATTGTTTCAATCATTCCCAAGTAGGCCAAGACTGTCTTAGTAACTGCAGACTCAGCCAAGACTGTTTAAGTTACTCCAGAAACACCCACAATTGTTCCAGTCACTCCCCAATAGGCCAAGATTTTCTCAGTAACTCCAGACTCAGGAAAAAGTGTTCCAGTCACTGCAGAGGGAGTCAAGACACTTCCAGTCTCTCCAGAGTAAGCCAAGATTTGTTTCAATCATTTCCAAGTAGACCAAGACTATCCGAGTAACTGCAGGCTCGGCCAAGACTGTTCAAGTTACTCTAGAGACTCCTACAAGTTACTCTAGAGACTCCTACAAGTTACTCTAGAGACTCCTACAATAGGCCTAGACTGTCCCAGTAAATCAAGACTCATGCAAGACTGTTCCAGTTACTCCAGAGACAGCCAAGACTATTCAAATCACTTTTGAGTCAGCCAAGATTGTTTCAGTCATTCTTGAGTCAACCAAATCTGTTCCAGTCACTCTCGAGACAGCCAAGATTGATCAAGTCACTCCAAAATGATCCGGGATTCTTTCAGTCACCCCAGAGATGGCCAAGATTGCTTGAGTCATTCCTGAGACAGTCAAAACGGTTCAAGTTACTCCTGAATGATCTGAGACAGCTAAGACTGTTCCAATAACATCCAGAATCATTCCGGTCGTTCTTGAGTCAGTCAAGATTGAGCCTGTCACTCCAGAGACTACCAAGACTGTTTTAGTCACTCCTGAGAAACCCTATGTTATTCCAGTCATTATTGAGACAACCAAAACTGTTCTAGTAAGTTCTGAGTTAGCTGAGACAGTCAGGGATGTTCTAACATCTATCAGAACAACCAAGATCACTCCTGAGACAGCCAAATCTCAAAAAAGCCCAATCAACTGGAACTGTTTCCTATACCACCTGTCCTCTCTATCTTAATAAAGGAGACCACTCCAGACCATTTAACTTAGCTTGTTCATCCTTGTCATCTCTAAGTCAGCAGCCTGTTGTGTAAATGAGACCATTTCTGAGACATTTCCATGTTCAGTAGTTCTATAAGTTCTATTAGCTCTCCCTGATTTTTAGGACACAGAGACCTATTGCATGAATTAAAAGTAACTTTTGTTTGTTATTTTTAATACATTGCTATGCTATTGACAACACATGTTTGCCCACAAAATGTCACAAGGAATAATTGAAGATGAAAAGTAATAATCATCTGGAGATGCCTAGGCATACCAGAATAATATGAGTTCACTACATGGAAATTGGCCTACTGTGTGTCTCAAACATTGTTTTCTTGCTCTCATGTAAACCCCCGGGGAAAATGGGCCTATCAGAACAAAACACAGACAATTAAATTGCACACGGGACTATTAGTTACACATAGTTAGCAAGCCCTTAAAATTTGCATGACATTCTTCATCAACTGGACCTGCACAAGTGGTTACGTTATCAGAAGTGTGGCAATCAAAACACAGACTGATTCCTTATTATGTTTTAAGCTAATTTTAAACTTTTGGGACTCTTATTTATAAAATGCCAAGACAGAGCCAGCCACACCATGTCCTTACAGCTTGTTTTCTCTTGGTTTTTCATTGCTACCCTTTTTGTTATTTTATTGTGAAATTTGCTGTGTATGTTTGTAATTATGCAACAGAAATGCTCAACCTCTAAATCTTTTATATATTTAAGTCTTTAAATACACATTTATGGATAGTGTCTTGTCACTCTTGCTGTCAGTTTTATAAACTTGTGTTTTTTTTTTATGCAGAGGTTGATATTAAATCCTGCCTGTGTTTTAATATACATTAAAAACATTGAAATACAACTCGAAGTACATCTCTCTTTAGGTTGGTAAAGTATCATTATAATTTAGCCTATTTCATTCACAACACCACTAAGTAGTAAAATAGATTTTTTTTCTGGTGGATTAAAAAAACACCTAAGTTGAAAATATTTACCAAGGGACCTACTCAATTTGTTTAAGCATTCTTTTGACAAATGAGATGTTTATTTCAGAACACAACACATCGTGTGTGTGTGTGTTTAAGTGAAAGATTAGGCACTGAGCTGGGGAGCTCAATAATATTCCTGTTCATAAATATTAATATTCAATTTATTTAACTGGATTTAATGAAGACACATCATTTTAATTGTTGTAAAATAAGATTCAGAAGCAGTCCAAGATTAGATGTGAAGTTTATTGTATTACTGCTAATAGCAGATGCTACATGTGGGAAAATGGGATTCTGTCTTTTATCCTCTCACTTTTCGGAAATGATCTGAAATAAACAAAACAACACAGACTCCATAAATATCACAAATGGCTATAAAGTTGAGCTAATGAAGCTAACTTACTTGATTAATCCAGTTGATGTAGGCAGACACGCGCGTGAAGCCTGTTGGCTTCTTGTAGGTATTGCAACCCTCAGGAGACACAAAACTGGTCACACCATGGACGACATACTTACCATTGAACAAACAGTTCAGAGGACTACCAGAGTCACCCTAAAAGAACATGACAGATGTCAAAATGACATTTTAAAGCAAAATGAAATGACTTCTGATGTGTTTGAGGGTCAGTTCTTCTCACATGACATGCAGACATGCTGGTGGTGCCGCCAGCGCAAATCATGGTCTCCTTCACTGAGCTTCCCCACCAGTCCTTTTGAGAGCAGGTTTCGTAGTCGACTACAGGCATATAGGCCTGTTTCAGCTGAGCTGACAATGACCCACCAGCTGCATGAAGATCACATTCATGAGACGAGAGAAATCAAGTCATGAATCTGTAAATATTCAATTCAGCTTTAGTTGTATAGCGCTTTTACAATGTAGATTGTGTCAAAGCAGCTTCACATAAATGGTCATAGTAACTGGAACAGTGTAGTTCAGTTTTTAGTGTTTAAGTTCAGTTCAGTTTAGCTCTGTTCAGTGTGATTTAAAATCATTACTGAGAGTTCAAACACTGAAGAGCAAATTCATCGATGCAAATATCAAGTCAATTGACATCTCAAGTCAAACTTACTCTCTGTGTAGCCCCAGCCAGTGATGTAGCATGTGTGGCCGTAGGGCAGAATCTCTCCAGAGGATGGCAGTGTGGCCACCTGCACGTATGAGCTCAGGGTGGCATCGATGGACAGACGCAGAAGAGCAATATCATATCTAAGAAAAAAATAATAATAGACATTGTAGACATAACAGCAATTCAATGTCCGATGCTATAGAGGGAGCTACAACTCCATAGTTACATTTGTAATGTGTACCTGAAAAAGTGCAATACTTTGAAGTGCAACATATAAAATCCATGTGAACCATAAAGCCACAGTCACACTAGAGTTTGAGCATCTGCCATACAATCCCAGAAAAAAAATGTACAGGAGCCAGCTATGGGGCAGTACCTTTTCAAAAGGTACATATTTGTACCTGAAGGGTCCATAATGGTACCTTAAAGGAACTTTTTAGGTACATTTGGGTATTAATATACATTTTATGGTACCATTGTGGACTCTTTGGGTACAAATATGTATCTTTTGAAAATTTACTACCCCAGAGAAAGCTCCTCTGCCTTTATTTCTGAGAGTGTATGGTCATGTGAAAAGGGGCGGGATAAAACAAGATGATAGGACATTGATAAACGGAGCGATTGCTCCATACTTTAGATTTCCAAATGTGAAAAAGATCACCTTTTGATCTTCTATTGGTCTAACGCATTCACAACCCGGGCTCATTGTGGAAACGTAGCCCCGCGGACGTTTCTGGAGACCGCGATTTACGTCCTGGAAGGGACGCTTTTTCGCGTCTCGGGCGCCTCTCGGGAGCGCGCGCCGTTCGCGCCCGTGCCGTTCTCGCGCGAAAAGCCGCCCTCCTCTTCCTCCTCCTCCTTCCCTAAACCCGAGCGACGGTTCGCAAAAGCCGTCCAGAAAAAAAAAAAAAAGCAAAAGCCCTCGTCTTCGATTTCGACCGCGTTTTCAGATCCCGCCACATTCTCGCCCTTATTTTTCGGATTCCGTTTTTCGTCTTACCTGATTTCCGGAACCGCTGTTCCCCGGACTCGATCCCAGTCGTCCGCGGCCGGTTCCTCCGGGGCCTCCGCTCCGCCGACGCAACACTGTGAGCTAAGCGGACAAACTGGTTGCATCTGGAAAGCCGTCGGCCGGCGAGCGCGAAGAGGAGGGGTGGAGCCCCCCAAACCGCCCCGCAGCGTTCGCTCGAAAAAAACTAAACGCGGCCTTAGGTATCTCCGACCACGTAAATCGCGGTCTCCAGAAACGTCAGCAGGGCTACGTTTCCAGAATGAGCTTGGGTTGCGCATTCATGTAATGCAAATTTGCAGATTATCATTGCCCAGCAACCTTGGACTTTGAAGCTTGCATTTTTGTTCTGACATATTCGCATACATCTGAATGGAAGTCAATGGGTTGAAAAGTGCAGTGTGGCCATGGTTTAAGTTTCTGCTGACTCTTATTGCAGAATGGATACATATTTCCAACTGAATATTGAGCTTTATTTTTGAGCACTTCCTCTCATCTTTCACTCACAGCAAACTAATGGTTGGAGCGGCATGGTTAAACACATCTTGTCCAAGCTGTAAAATCAGCCTGATCTCACAAAGAAACGTAACTTTTTAATATTTTGTCCGTTTAGTGGCTAATTCATACGAATTCAAAGAGTTCAAATGTACGATTTTAAAAAAGTAGTGTGGCACCCAACCCCACCCCAAACCCAACCATTATTGGTGAATAAGCAAATCATATTAAATTGTACGAATGAGATCATTTGAGTTTATATGAATTAGCCACTAAATCAAAAAGTTACCAATTGCCATGAGATGGCATTCATCAGGAAAGAGCTGCCTTTCCAGGGCAGAAGCAAAGGGTTAGATTTTTAACCCTTTTTAGATTTTTAGATAACCAAAACTGTTTATTTTCAGTGGATTAATTTGCACAGATTACTTGTTCAATGTAAGGCAAGGCCTTAAAACCAGTTTAAGAAAGACAAAAAAGTGTGTTATAGCACAGTGATGCTTGTCTGATGCTTCTTGATTTAAAAGTTTGTATATATTTGGAATTGAAACAAGACAATATATATATATCTGAGTAAGAAAAACTATTTTTTTTTTTTTTTGCAGTGAAGCTGCAAACATTTGTATAGTCAAGAATGTTGTGCTGTATTACCGAGGCATTTATATTAACTGTTAGTTGTGTCACCACAGTCATGTATATATTGTGTATGCCATATTCACACACCCAAATGCCACGTTGTTGGGGTTCCAGTTGGGGTGGATGAAGACCTCACTGACGCTTATGTACTGCTCGGGACCCTCATGAGTGTAGATGTCGTGGTCACCCAATGCAACAGTCCATTTTCTCAGACTGAACAGTACACACATTGAAAAAGCAAATTGGTAGACTGCTTTCTTAGTTATTTGCGTTCAGTTTTTAAAATGTTCTTTTTTGCAAATAGAAATTTTTTTCAAATTTATTACGCTTCGACGCAGTGAGCGGCAACCATCACCCATCCTGGTCTGATCAGAGTCCCACTACAATAGTAGTAGTATGTTCCCAAATCAGAATACTGGAGAGAGATCTGAAGAAACATAGATAATTTTAGCTAAAATTATATATTTTTTACATTCATTTTAACATTATCTGAGCACTCTAAAACAAAAGTAAAAAAAGGTTCAGAAAAAATGTTCCAAAATAGTATATAGAATAGTCTGAGAGCATTATTTCTGGGGTATTTTGAGCTGAAACTTCACATACACACTCTAATAGGATAAAACTGGCCTTTTAGTTGTACAAAGCTACAGTAGTTAGTAAAAAAAAAAGCTTAGTTATTGATATTTAAGATTAAATATTACTGTAAAAAATATTGTACCTGCCAAGGCCAAGAGTGGGGTTTTGCAATCTCTCCGCCAACAACCCTCTCCTCAATGGCTATATCCTTCAGATATCTGGGCTCAGCCAGCGCTGGACAGAAAAACACAAGACATGTTAGGGTTGTAACTTTGTCATTTCTCAGCTAAAGGAGAGAAAAATCTCACCCAAAGTGGCCAGCACACTCAACAACAGGATCCTCAGCATGTTTGCTGTCTGTCTAAACATTCTGCACACTGCCATCACACATATATACTCAAACGCTTTCGCAACGCTAAGTAGTACAGGTTGTCTGATGCCCACAGGTGTCTGAATCACACAGATTTCATCACTGCCAAGGCCGGTGTGCCGACAAATCAGGCAAAATGAACTTTCTTTTTTTAATCTAGCTCAAGGGTCAAAACATTTTCCTTGAACTGCCTTTTTTTAATTTGTTGCTCAGCATTTAGCTGAAGATTTCTTTTCTCCTTTAAGGACCCTAGTCTTGTGATAGATGTTGTTTGTTTTAGGGTTCACCATAGATAGTGATTACTATAGAGCGCCGTATTGTTTGTGGCAGTTCAAAAAAGAAACAGGAATACAAATAAAAAATGCGTCTGAAGATTCATTGACCCTTTCCACAATGTAATTATATCCAAATGCATTTTTTTGTGTGTTTTTTATGGTGGTTTGACATTAAGGTCGCCCCCAATGTCGCTGTGAGTGTTTTCTATTTATTTTATTTTATTTTACTTTCTTTTTTTTCAGTTCAAGTGCTCAATATATCGTGGGAGAACTCCAAATGCCGATGACTGCTGAAACTGGTCTGGTTGATGCAAACAGCAGGTAAACAATATTAGATATTATGTATGTTTAACTGTGTATAAATTGATTATTCATATGGAATATTTATATGGAATACACAAAGAGTCCAATGAAGCCTTGTATAGCTAAGCAACAATGACAGCCAAAAGCAGTTCTCCACCAGCCATTTGTTTACAGCTTGTCAGAACACAAAATGCCCTTTGTGTTACTTTATTGTGAAATTTGCTGTGTATGTTTGTAATTAGGCAACAAAAATGCGTAGACTGAAGTGTTCAATACAAGTGTTTAATGCACATTTATGCATTGTGTCATGTCACTCAGCTCTTGCTGTCAAGAGAACAGAAAAAATAATAGGGTATACAGTATGCCGAGCTAGTGCTATTCCCATGCTGATACACTTCCGGTGAGCTGTTATTGTGAACTTTTTCTCGTTTTATACGGTTCCTTATACAGCATCGATGTTGTAATGTCATTAAAATACATTCAGTTAAATAAACTTTAGCATTTATTTAGTTGCTTAAGCGTAAAACGAGACAAAAAGCCGTTTACTTGCACGTGCCCGTCAGAATCGGCAGGCTAACTCAGAAGCTCCATTGAATATACTGGGGTAAAATAAATGCTCATATTACAAAGACATGGCGGGGGAAATGTAATTTAATGCAGTGCTTCTTGTACAATCTGGGACCCACTTTAAATCGGATATCACTCAGCTAGTGGAGATCGCTGATTTTTAAAGAAAACAGACCTTAAACGCACCAGATTTTGCATTGGCATTCAATTCGCTGGAAGCGCTTAACCCAGGTTAATGGCAAATTAAAAATCCTATTAGCATGCTTCGGCATATACCCCATACACTTTTTTCAACTCCTCTTTTACGCAGAGGTACAACTCTAAGTACATCTCTTTTTAGGTTGGTCAATTCATTCATTCATTTATTAATTCATTCATTCATTTTTCTATCGTTTTTCTGGGTCCGGGTTAAGGAGGCAGCAGTCTTAGGAGAGAACTGCTGACTTCCCTTTCCCAGACACTTCCTCCAGCTCCTCTGGGAGGACCCCGAGGTGTTCCCAGGCCTAGTCCCTCCAACGTGTCTTGGGTCTCCCCCAAAGCCTCCTCCCGGTGGGACATGCCTGGAACATCTCGCTAGGCAGGTGTCCAGGAGGCAGATGCCCGAGCCACCTCAACTGACTTCTCTCAATGTGGAGAAGCAGCAGCTCTACTTCGAGCTCCTCCCGGCTGACAGAGCTCCTCACCCTATCCATAAGGGTGCGCCCTGCCACAATACAAAGAAAACTCAATTCGGCTGCTTGTATCCAAGATCTTCTCCTTTCGGTCTTGACCCAAAGCTCATGACCATAGGTGAGAGTAGGAACGTAGATTTACCGGTAAATCAAGAGCTTTGGCTTTCGGCTCAGCCGAAAACCACAAGGGACTGGTACATCGATTTCTCTTCAGTTAAATATATTTACCAAGGCACAGACTCAGTTTGATAAAATGTTATTTTGACAAATGAGATGTGTTTATTTTACACATTTATTTCAGAGCACATCTAGGTGTGTGTATGTGTTTGAGAAAGCAGGCGCGACCTTTCCAAATTTGGTCAATATGGACCTTCTGATTTTAGTGTTATATTCAGGGCTAATAAATAGGCATGTAAATCCATTTCAGGAGAATTTTTGAACTTATCTAAGCCACATGCCTACTATATAGGTGTCAGAGAAAAAATACATAATGAAGCAATGCACTGCATGGCACCTAAACGTTTCGATTTATTTAACTGGATTAAATGAAGACACACCATCCTAATCATTCTGAAAAAAATATTCAGAAGCAGTCTAAGATTAGATGTGAAGTTTGTTGTATTACTGGTAATAGCAGATGTTAGATGTGGGAAAACGGCATTCTGTCTTTTATATCTTCTCCGTTCTCGTACATGATCTGAAATGAACAAAATAACACAAACTTCATAAATATCAAACACTGGCTTACAATTACAATACAACCCAAAGAAGCTAACTTACGTGATTTAGCCAGCTGACATGGTATGACACACGTGTGAAGACTGTTGGCTTCTTGTAGGTATTGCAACCCGATGAAGCCACAAAACTGGTCACTCCATGAACGACATACTCACCATTGAACAGACAGTTCAGAGGACTACCAGAGTCACCCTAAAAGAACATGACCGACGTCAGAATGACATATTTTACAGCAAAATGAAATGACTTCTGATGTGTTTGAGGGTCAGTCCTTCTCACATGACATGCAGACATGCTGGTGGTGCCGCCAGCACAAATCATTCTGTCCTTCACTGTGCTTCCCCACCAGTCACTTTGAGAGCAGGTTTCGTGGTCAACCACAGGCATATAGGCCTGTTTCAGCTGAGCGGAAAGCGAACCACCAGCTGCATGTAGATCACATCCATAAAGAAGGAGAGAAATAATTAATGAATCGTTTAATATCAAAGACTGAGCTGTGGCGTTTCAAGTCAAACTTACTCTGCGTGCGGCCCCATCCAGTGATGTAGCATGTGTGGCCGTAGGGCAGAATCTCTCCATAGGATGGCAGTGTGGCCACCTGCACGTATGAGCTCAGAGTGGCATTGATGGACAGTTGCAGAAGAGCAATATCATTTCTGAAAAAAAACAAAAAAAAAACAATAATAGACATTACAGTCTGCAATTTACTGACAGATGCTGTTGAGCAGGGGTGTCAAACTCAATTCCTGGAGGGCCGAAGAACTGCACAATTTAGTTCCAACCCTGCTCCAACACACTTACCTGTAGGTTTGAAACAAGCCTGAAGGACTCAATTAGTTTGATCAGGTGTGTTTAATTAGGGTTGGAACTAAACTGTGCAGAGCTGCAGCCCTTTTGGAACTGAGTTTGACACCTGTGCTATAGAGGGAGCTACAACTCCATAGTCATTCATTCACTTTCCTTCAGCTTACTCTGAAATTTATCAAGGGACACTTCAGTGGAATGAACCACCAACTAGCATATGTTTTATGCATCGTATGGCCTTTCAGCCGCAACCTATTACTAAGAAACACTCTCACATTTACGCACACTCATACACTGCGGACATTTTAGATAATCCAATTCCCCTTTCAAGAGTTCACACTTACATTTACATTTAGTCATTTAGCAGACGCTTTTATCCAAAGCGACTTACAAATGAGGACAAGGAAGCAATTTACACAACTAAGAGCAACAATAAATAAGTACTAAAGGCAAGTTTCAGGTCTGTAAAGTCTAAGAAGGGAAGTGTTGGTAGTTTTTTTTTTTTTTTGTACAGTTAGTGTGAAATTCAAAGAGGCAATTGCAGATTAGGAAGTGAAGTGGAGACTAAATAGTTGAGTTTTTAGTCGTTTCTTGAAAATAGCGAGTGACTCTGCTGTTCTGATGCAGTTAGGGAGTTCATTCTACCAACTGGGCAGATTGAGCGTGAGCATGAGCGTTCGCGAAAGTGATTTTTTCCCTCTTTGGGATGGAACCACGAGGCGACGTTCATTCACAGAACGCAAGTTTCTGGAGGGCACATAGATCTGCAGAAGTGAGTGCAGATAAGAAGGTGCTAGGCCAGAAGTCACTTTGTAGGCAAACATCAGAGTTTTGAATTTGATGCGAGCAGCAACTGGCAGCCAGTGCAAACGGACTAGCAGCGGAGTGACATGTGCTCATTTAGGTTCATTGAAGACAACTCGTGTTGTTGCATTCTGGAGCAGTTGAAGAGGCTTGATAGAGTTAGCTGGAAGCCCAGCTAGTAGAGAGTTGCAGTAATCCAGTTTGGAGAGAACAAGAGCTTGAACAAGGAGTTGAGCTGCATGTTCAGATAAGAAGGGTCGGATCTTTCTGATGTTATAGAGTGCAAATCTGCACGATCGAGCAGTTCTAGAAATGTGGTCAGAGAAGTTTAGTTGGTCATCAATCGTTACTCCAAGGCTTTTCACCATTTTGGATGCAGTAATGGTTGCCCCATCCATCTGGATTGAAAAGTTATGGTGTAGAGTCGGGTTGGCAGAAACTACAAGCATTTCCGTTTTTGCGAGGTTCAGCTGAAGATGATGATCTTTCATCCAGTGTGAAATATCCAACAGGCAGGCTGAGATACGAGCTGAAACCGAGGGATCATCAGGATGAAAAGAGAGGTATAGCTGGGTATCATCAGCATAGCAGTGGTAGGAGAATCCATGTCTCTGGATGACTGGTCCTAGAGATGATGTGTACTTAGCTAGTAATTGATGATGTGTACTTAGCTAGTAATTGATTATAAAGCTTGTTTGGCATGATGTCCCGGGAGAGAGCCTCATAAGCTCATAAGATCCTCGAGCTCGGGGCTCCCTCCCGTTTGCAAGGCGAGCTCAGGTAGATCTCGAGAACTCCCCTGCTGTAGTAGCGAATGAACAGATAGTGATTGGTCTTAAGAGATAACTACTTATTAGGAACATGTCTTTGTTGCTGATTTGGATTAGTGAATTAACTTAGGTTGCATGTTTTTGGACTGTAAGAGGAAACCGGGGAACCTAGGGGAAACCCACGTGAGCACGGGGAGACTGTGTAAACTCCGCAAAAAAATGTCGGCTGGTTTGGTAATGACCAGAACCAAAGACGTTCTTGCTGTAAGGCAGGGGTCACTAAACTTGTTCCTGGAGGGCCGGTGTCCTGCAGATTTTAGCTCCAACTCCAATCAAACACACCTGAACAAGCTAATCAAGGTCTTACTAGGTATACTTGAAACATCCAGGCAGGTGTGTTGAGGCAAGTTGGAGCTAAACCCTGCAGGGACACCGGCCCTCCAGGACTGAGATTGGTGACCTCTGCTGTAAGGCAACAGTGCTAACCACTGGGCCACCATGCCCCCCATCTAGAAAAGGAGGAGGAGTAGGGGTGGAAGGGGGGATTCTTCAAAACAAAGATGGCTATTATATGGAACTTAGGGTATTTAAGGTGGCTTAGGAGTCATCTGATTGGTGAATCATAAATTGGATAATGAGGGACCGGCAGCATGTGATCCTCTTGAAATTAGTTTATAAATAAACTTCACGTCTTTGGACTATGGGGGAAACCGGAGCACTCGGAGGAAACTTACACCATCACGGGGACAACCTGCAAACTCCGCACAGAAATGCCAAACTGGGACTGGAACCAGTGACTCTTTTGCTGTGAGGTGACAATGCTAACCATTGAGTAACCTTGCTGCCTTACAACTCCATAGTACATTTTGCTTGTGTAACTGAAGAAGTACAGTATTTTTAAATGTAACATTTAAGATCTTTGTGAACCATGAAGCCGCAGTCACTTTACAGTTTGAGCATGCGAAATTCCGTCGTATGGTTATGTGAAAAGGGGCGGGATTAAACAAGATGATGAATCACTGATGGCTCCATGTTTTAAGTTTCAAAATTTACAAAGAGATCACATTTTGATCTTCCTGATCCTTTGGTGTAACGCATGCACATAATGCAAATTCGCAGATCATCATACTTCAGGATCTCCTGGACTTTGAAGCTTGCATTTTTGTTCTGGCATATGCACATGCATATGAATGGAAGTCATTGGAGCAAAAACTGCAGAGTGACCATGGATTAAGTTCCTGCAGACTCTTATTAGAGTATGGCAACTTATTTAAACTGAAACAGAATATTGAGTTTGACTAAGCAAAGTGCTAAAGTAGTGTGCTAGTATTTAAAATTTTGATTTGTATGTGGTATTCAATTCAGAATGAATCATTTTACAAAATCAAGCAGTACAGATTTGTATTCAAGAATGTTGTGCTATATTATCAAGACATTTATCTTTATATTGACCGTTAGTTGTGTCCCCACAGTCATGTATATATTGTGTATGCCATATTCACACACCCATTTGCGACAATGTTGGGGTTCCAGTTGGGGTGTATGAAGACACCCTTGACGCTTATGTACTGCTCGGGACCCTCATGAGTGGTGGTGTCGTGGTCGCCCAAGGCAACACTCCATATTCTGGAACTGCACAGAACACACATTGAAAAAGCAAACTGGTAGACTGGTTTTTCTGTGGTCTTTGAGTTAAGTTTGTGTTTGCCAGTTGAAATCTACAAATTTATTACGTGTCGACGCAATGGGCGGCAACCATCACCCATCCTGGTCTGATCAGAGTCCCACCACAATAATGATGGTATCTTCCACCAGATTGGTACTGGAGAGAGATCTGAAGAAAGAGACATGATTTTAGCCGAACTTTTTTTTGGATATTATCTGATCATTCAGAAACAACAGTTACCAAAAGTTCCAGTTCAGTAACAGTTAACAAAAGATTCAGAAAAAAAGTTCCATCACTTATATAAAAGTAAATAAACTAATCTGAGAGCATTATAGACCAGAAAACTCTGAAAGCCCTGCTCATAATGCTGCGTTCACACCAGACGTGGCAGAAGCGTCAAGCACAAGTGATTTAAATGTTAAGTCAATGCAAAGACACAATTTAAATAGACATCCTGCAGCATGATATGCACGAATGAGGAAGCACGAATGAAGTGCCGCGGGTTGAGCAATTTGTGCGACTGGCATGGGTTTTACACGAATCGCTTAAGTTGGAAAATCTGATCTTCAGAAGACGCTCACACCGCATTAAGCAATAGACCTTTTACGCTCTTCCGCATTTTTCGAACGGAAATACGTCAATGTAGTGCATTAGAACTTCCTGTTATCATAGCGGCAGATACGAAAAATGGCAGAGTCGAAGAATCGCAGTTTCTGTTGTGTTCCAGGCTGGAGAAACAGCCCTACCTTTTATTTCATTCTTTTCCTGTGGATCCAAACCTGAAACCCAAATGAATTCAGGCGATCTGAAGAGAGGAAGGGCATAGTTTTAATGTAAAACAGGTAGCACCTATGTCTGCAGCCGGCACTTCGCTCCGGATGATTACAGTGGTGGCTGCGTCGTTCGCCGCCTGAAGAGTGGTGTTGTCCCGAGCCTATTCCCTTGGAACAACTTTACAGCTCCTTTGAGAAGGGAGTCAGTATATGACAGAACCTACAAACGTCAGTCTAAACAGCTATGCTGTGAAGATAGCGACACGGTGGCTAAGGCAGCAAGGATGGATCATGACTACGTGATTTCGCTATTTAGAGTTTGCAAATAATACTTTAAAGAAATTATTTTGTTAAGGGGAAAGTCTGAATGTGCAAATATAAAACCAACTTTACCACTATCCCACCTGCAGTTAAGATTGTTCATAGTGTATTTAGTTAACGCTAGTCACCTGTGTGTACCGTTATGCATATCTACCTGAACAAATTAATGTTAATAATATAAGCTGTTCAAGAAGCTCAACTAATAAAATAAAATATTTTTTTTTTTTAATAATGAAACAATTTATTGTTGTGACATCTAGTAAATACACGAAGTTTTATCATACTAGCATGTGTGGAAGTATTTAAAACAAGTGTGTTACAACTGGCCCTGTGTTAGGTTCTACCCCGCTCTCCCCTATTTTAATTGCATGTATTTAATAACTTATTTAATTAACTTCGGAAGACAACTCGGGCTCGCCGAAAACACTCTAGCTGCCTTTTCTTCGCCAAAAAACTCCTACCGGAACTAGGTTTACACGTTGTTGACGTACTTCCGGTTTTTGCATAACAGGTCTATCAGGAGCTTTCACTTAGGCTTGCTTATGACGTAGCACCTGTTGTTGGTGTCCCGGGGGGAAATCCTCAGATAACTGTTGATCAAACTGGGCTCAGCTTGTTCGTAAGCACCGCTGAAAACTTCCATCATTCAGGTTAAGCCTCTGTACTCACAGACCTGGGTGCACTGCCTGGTCACTCTAGCAATGAAGCTTGAGTCACCGGGCAGACGGAAGCCCTGCCCATGACGTGAATCCAAACACGGTCCTGGAAGGCCAGTGTCCAGCAGATTTTAGCTCTAACATGCTCCAACACACCGGCAAGGATGTTTCTAGAAAGCCTAGTAGGAGCTTGATTAGCTATAGACCAGGTGTGTCTGATTGGAACTAAACTTTGCAGGACACCAGCCCTCCGAGTGTGGACACCCGGAGGACCTCAATCTTGTTTTTGAATCTGTCACTATGCTAACATGTTAGCATTTGTAGTTCCGCCCTCTTTTGGAAAGCGCACAATCTCATTGTTTTTTAATTGAATTTGAAGCGACAGTCACCAAAACGACAAGATTATAGGATCAAAACCCAAAATGGTGAGTTTCAAAGAGGTGTAAAACATTATTTGTGGGGTACTATGAGCTGAAACTTAATATACACACTCTATAGGTTCTTTTAAACAGGATAAAACTTGTTCTTTTAGTCAATAGTATCTGGATGCAGCCTTTATGATGCAAGCTGAGATTGCATCACTCATTGATGCAATGTCAGACAAAATGCACTCAATGGAGTGAGTGACGTCACTGTGACGGTTAGGGGTGGGGTTAGGTGAGCCCATTAAAAAGAATTGGATGCAGCTCAGATTGCATTGCACCGAGTCTGCAGCCAGACCCCTCTCCTTTTAGTTGCAGGAAGCTAGTTAGAAAAAGAGGGTTGAGATTTAAGTTTTTTATTGTGAAAAATATAGTACCTGCCATGGCCAAGAGTGGGGTTTTGCGATCTCTCCACCAATAACCCTTTCCTCAATGGCCAGATCCTCCAGATATCTGGGCTCAGTCAGCCCTGGACAGAAAAACACAAATAGACATGTTAGGGTTGTAACTTTTTCATTAGAACCTTAGTATTTTTTAACATATGTAAATGCATACAGTTCATTTCTCAGCTAATGGAGAGAAACATCTCACCTATAGCGGCCAGCACACTCAACAACAGGATCCTCAGCATGTTTGCTGTCTGTCTAAACTTTCAGCACACTGCCATCACACATATATACCCACAGACTTCCGCAGCGCTGAATAGAACAGGTTGTCTGATGCCCACAGGTGTCTGAATCACACAGATTTCACCACTGTCAAGGCCAATGTGCCAAAACAGGGCAAAATAAACTTGTTTATCTAGCTCAAGGGTCAAAACAATTTCCTTGAACTGCCTTTTCTAATCACCATACCACCAGAGTTTGCCAGATTTAACATGTAACCATTCTGCCTTGTTTTCACAGTTCAGGCTGCCAGCGTTGGTGATTATTTTCCCACCACACTTTGGATGTTTTGTATGAGAGTGAATCGGTGATTCAGCCATATTTCTTACTGATATGACCTCAACTTGGAAACTCTGGATTTAAAGACAATTTAGAGTTTTGTACTATAATACTGAGTTTGTGGTGGTGTTTAGGGATTAAATTTGTGAATTTATCTGACATGACTCGAATGCACCTTTTTGTTGCTCTTGCCTTCATGACTAAAGTGAATCCATCTTACTTTCAGCTGGATAACAGCCATGTCATAAAGCTTTCAATTCCAGTTAAGTTCTGTTAGGATGCGCTGGATATCTATATATCATTCTTTATGAACATTTAAGCTTCAATAATAGTACATTTTACATTATTTAAAACTGCTTTATTTCTTGTTAAATAAGTGAACATGTTTTCTTTGAGTTTTTAAGTCGTCAAGTGAAAATCGTTTTGATGTCAAAGCCTTGACATCTATTTGACTTCCACACATTGATTTTCTTTTGACCACCAAAATAACAACACAAATAGATAATAAAGGTAAATATATAGGTAAATAAGTACCATTTTTCATCTTTAATTACAAATTTAAAGTGGATGATGTATCTCTACAATACATGTTAGCTTGATGTCAAATTGACATTTCACATAAAAAACGCTCCAAAAATTGATAAGAGGGCTTTCCTGTACTCGAATTGTTGATGACAATGTTAGATGTCCATTTCATGTTGTTTTGGTTTCGACATCAAGATCAATTGGCATGAAATCGATATGCACTTTTGATTTTTTTGATTTCAGTTTGACATTAAGGTGTTTGCTGGGATGTGTTATGGCACCTGACTCTCGGAACTACGTGAGGAAACAGTGTGTGCGAATTGTAACTACTTCTACTAAACCCAGAAGGTTTAGTTTCCAGTCTGTTTGGGACATTTATTTATTCATTTATGTTTCTTTTATTTATTTATTTATTTATTTATTTATTTATTTATTTATTACTATTTATTTATTATTTATTATTTATTATTACTATTTTTTTTTCAGTTCAAGTGTTTAACATGTATTCGGAGAACTCACAAATGTTGAGGACTGCTGAAACAAGTGTGTTTGATGCAAACAACAGGTGGCACTGTGGTGTGTTTCAGGTTTCTTTTCCCCTGTAAAAGAAGGACACCGCTAGTTTCCTCCGCTACGCTGCTTGCTCATCGGGCGGGTGTGGTTCAGAGACAAACTTTTACAAATCTTCACCAGTATGAACAATAAATCCAAAATGTTTCTGTCTTTTCTAATAATGCTCGGTAAGTGCGCGATGTCTTATTATTCTTTTCCACTTTCGGTTTCACTTTGCATCTTCATCTCATGTTTATTACCTCATTATTGGTCTCGTTTCCTCTCTATGGGAATTGATATTATCTGGTGTCATTATTCTCTTTCAAAACAATCACTGCTAAAAAAATATCACAAACGGACTGAAATAAATATTCTAAATATTCTTTGCGATATAAAAATGTCTGAATTTGATTTAGTAAAAGGACTCTGATTTGTTTTGATTATAATTTAATATAAATATGTTTCTTTATTTGTTGGACCCGATGATAAATAGCCACTATGTTACTAGTGGCTAATGAGGATCTAAATAAACAATGTGAAATATATTAAAATATTTTAGCCATTGAATTAGCATATTGGTAAAGAAAAAAAAAAAAAAAAAAAAAGATGTCTTGATATTTTTAGTATAAAAAAGAAAACAACTATATATTATATAATTTTATCTACATATGTAATAAGAAAAATTATGGAAGGATATTACTACATATTTTGGAGTGACAAAAAAAAAAAAAAAGGCTAACTTTTTAAAATATTATTAATTAGTGTTGGTGAGTCAATCGTCTTTGCCCAATTTATTGTTATATTTTTTACAGATCTGTTCATAATCATTTGTAATGAACTTAAGCACAAATGACCTGTAGCGGAAAATCAACTAATACTAAATCTTGTACTACCTGGTCATTAAAAAAAAACAAAAAAAACAAATGTTATTACCACAAATATGCAGTATTATAACAGCCGTTTTTGCTAAAAAATAAAATAAAAATGTAATAAATAAAAAATAAAAGCATTTACCTAAACGAAAGCACGTTCAAAGTACACTAATAAAGCCTTTAATTTCTTCATTTTATTATGCTGCAATATGATTTATAAATAAGTAGAAAAACAAATAAGTTTAAAATTGTGTTTATTAGACAAATCTCAACTAAACATGTTCATTACTCAGTCCATTATTATTAGCGTTAAATAAGTTCAATTTCTGAGAATCTGTTTGTCCTCAGGTGTTTTGGCTACCGATGCAGACATAGTGAAGACCATCTCAGCGAAGGAGGGAGATTCAGTGACTCTAAACCTTGATCCTACTGAAATGCAGGGGTTTAAGGGGATACAGTGGAGGTTTGGATATGAAGGTTCACGCGTTGCTCAAATGATGGGAAATGAGAGCTCATATACGAGCGATGATATATTCAGAGACAGACTGGAGCTCAACAAGCAGACTGGATCTCTGACCATCAAGAACGTGAGAACCAAACACTCTGGACTTTATAAAGCTGAGCTCGACCACATGAATATGACGTCACATCAGTTATTCATCGTTACGGTTTATGGTAAGGATATATAGACCCTTTTTTTTAGCTGAGATTTTAGCCACTAATTAATTTCTGGTGAATGTTTGATGTGACTATTTTCATTTTTTATTTTTTTTAACAGTATCGATAATGTACTGTAATCAAAATATAGTCAGTTAAACAGACTACAGAATTCATTTAGTTGTTCAAGCGTAAAACAAGAGTAAAGGCCATTTATAGACATCGTCCATAAGGTCTAATATTAAGTTTTGTTATTTTTTTTTAAATGTTACAGGCTAAAATGTTAGAATTATGTGTTTTATTACCTGGACATGCAAAAAAAAATTAAATTCCAGAAATGTAGCACACCATAAACTAATAAAACAACAATAATTTCTTTAATCCAACCTAATGTCAAGTATGCAGCTGTCCATTATTTCTGTCTATCCGGTTCATTTTTATATATATAATATATAATATATATGTATAATATATAATTAATATCTATAATATATATATAATTTTTTTTTTTTTTTTTTTGCACTTAATGACACCTGTCATAGTTTTTTTCCACCTCCAGTTGTCTCTTTCTTTTGCCTCCAACTAGCATTTTGGCATTATAAACCATGACAAAGAGTAGGAAAAAAGATCAAAATAAAATAATGCATTTTAAAAATAAATTGATTAAAAAAATTGTTCACACTTTATTTTGTACACTATAACAGTAGATGTAAGTTGACATGTACTTACTAAGTTTCTTATAGTCAGTTAAATGTCTGTTGAAGGAGTAGTATCAACAGATATTAAGCAGACAGTCTACTAATACTCAAATGGACCAGCAAAAAAAAAGTGTTATCAAATTTTCAGTATTTTACAACAGCTGATAAGCCTGTCTGACTTTTTTTCGGCAATAACCGCCTGGAAGTGCTTTATTCCACTTATTAAACAACTATGTAGTGCCACAAAATGTAAAAATAAGACACAAAACATTGCTTTGAGCCATAACAGTTTATTCGTTGTTTAATTAATTGCAAAGCTGACAGACACGAAAAGGCTGAATGGAGCATGCACTTACCTACATATTGTTCAGTCACAAAATGGCACCAAACAGTCAAAAACAGCGGCAGACAAAGATACAAACATCAATGTGAACATGTTTACTGATCACCAAAGTGATTTGAAGTACTCTGATGAGCCCGTGTTATTCAGAGGTTGTTATTTTAGAATAACATACTTTAGAACAGGGGTCACCAAGCGCGGTCTTGGAGGGCCGGTGTCTCATCAGGGTTTAGCTCCAATTTGCCTCAACACACCTGCCTGGGTGTTTCGAATATACCTAGTAAGACCTTGATTAGCTTGATCAGGTGCATTTGATTAGGGTTGGAGCTAAAATCTGCAGGACACCGGCCCTCCAGGAACAAGTTTGGTGACCCCTTCTTTAGAATGTCACAACTGATCAATCAGAATCAAATATTTCAGACTTTAAAAAAGTTTAAAGACCACAGTTAAATTTGTAAACTTCCATACTATATTACCACCAGCAGCAGTGTTGTGTTTAAATCTTTTTCTGTGAATCCAATTCATGTAGAGTCACCGTCTGATGCTGGTCAAGCTGAAATCAAGAGCTTGTCAGTGATGGAAGGAGATTCTGCCATTCTTCACACTGATGTTACTGAACTACATGGAGATGAGCTGATGGTGTGGAGGTTTGGAGATGAAGGAAAACTCATTGCCAAGCGTGACACAGAGACCAAGAGTTCATCGTTTATTGATACCGAAGAGAGATTCGTACACAGACTGGAACTGGATCAGACTGGATCTTTGACCATCAAGAACATGAGAAACTCAGACTCTGGGCTTTATATAGTGAAGATCAGCAGCAGCAAAGACACGGTTTACAAGAAATTCAGCATTGCTGTTAGTGGTGAGTAACTCAGCTTTGAATAATTCTGATGATGTGACATCAAAGGAACACACCACTTTTTTGGGGACTCAGTCCTAATATAATAAAAAGATCCTTGATTATGACACCAGAATGAGAGTATAGTTCCTAGCCCTATCGACCTAGAAAATAACAACTATTAATTTTCTTGGACTTCATTTTCTTGGAAAAGTCAGCTGAAGTGGCTCGGGCATCTGTTTCGGATGCCTCTTGGACACCTACATAGGGAGGTCTTCCAGGAATGTCCCACCAGGAGGAGGCCTCAGGGAAGATCCAGGACATGCTGGAGAGACTATGTTTCTCGGCTGGCCTGAGAACGCCTCAGGTTTCCCTGGAGGAAGTGTCTGGGGAGAGGGAAGTCTGGGGCTCTCTCCTCAGACTGCTGCCCCTGAGACCTGGCCCTGGAAAAGGGGAGGAAAATTAGTAAATAATCTTGGTTGGACTGTGTAACTACAGAAGTGTCAAGATTTAAATAGGAAAAATATAAAAATATATTTATTATAAAAAAAAAAAATTGGTGAGATGCTAATGGTCTAATCCGATTAAATGATTTATGCTAAGCTAAGCTAAAAGGGCTTTTTGCAGTATTGGAGACAAGTTGAATGGATTCGAAAATGGTAAAACTCAAGTGTTTAACTCTTTCGGAGCTTTAAAATAAGCTGTCAAAAAAGTGAAGTGTTCTTTAAGGTTATAGCAACTTAATACCAAGCCATGTAATGTTGAATGTTTTACAGGCTAGTCAAAAAGGCGCATGCAGTAGCAGGTTTTGCTAAATGTCTCACTGTTAATACATAATCATATATTTAGTCATAATCAGCTATTGAGAATTGCTGAATGAGCCTATTTCCAAAAAAACGGGATGTGTTCCTTTGAAGGATTATGCTATGATCAAATGTCAATGATCAGACATATTCATAATGTCTATTTGTTAATGTTATTGCAGTTCTAGGTCTATCTCCAGGCTCTATAGCAGGAATTGTTGTTAGCTTTCTGCTGCTCTTGGCTGTATCTGTAATCGGTGCTTCATGCTATCGCTCCAAGATCTCTGAACTACGATTACAAACATGTAAGTATTGCAGTTGATAGCAGTTTAAGATTTCACACTTAGCTGATGGTTGATTATAAAGCTTGTTTGGCATGCTGTCCCGGGAGAGAGCCCTGAGCTCATAAGACCCCGGAGCTCGGGGCTCCCTTCCGTTGCAAGGCGAAAGGGGAGTTTGAGCTCAGGTAGGACTCAAGAACTCCCCTGCTGTAGTAGCCAATGAACAGATAGTGATTGCTCTTAAGAGATAACTACCTACTAAGTGCATGTCTATGGTGCTGATTTGGATTAGTCAATTACCTTAAGTTGCATGTTTTTGGACTGTGGGAGGAAACCCACATGAGCACAGGGAGAACGTGCAAACTCCCCACAGAAATGTCAGCTGATTTGGTAATAACCAGAACCAAAGACTTTCTTGCTGTGAGGCAACAGTGCTCACCACTGGGCCACCATGCCACCCATCTAGGAATGGAGGAGGAGTAGGGGTGGAAGGGGTAATTCCTCAAAACGAAGATGACTGTGGTATAAAACCTTGGGCATTTATAGTGGCTAGGAGTCATCTGATTGGTGAATCATAAATTGGATAGTGTGGGATCAGCTGCAAGCAATCATAAGCACATGATCCTCTCGAAATTAGTTTTTAAATAAAAATCACAGAGATTTACTCCAGATCAGTGGAGAGTTAATGTATAATCTAATTGCAGTATGTGCTTGTGATTTAATTTAGTGAATTAATGAGGCATGTAATTCTCACTCATTGATCTGAATGACACTTATATACTAATCACTGAATCTCAGCGTATTTAAAGGCAAAGTTCACCCAAAAAATGACAATTTACTAACTATTTACTCACCCTCAAGTGGTTCCAAACCCTTTCATTGTTCTGTTGAAAACAAATGAATATTTGTTGGAAAAAGCTGAAAAGCTGTAACTATTGACTTCCAAAGTAGGACAAACAAATACTGTGGAAGTCAATGGTTTATAGCTTTCTTCAAAATACCCTAATTTGAGTTAAACTGAGGAAAGGAAGTCATAAATGTTTGAAACAATGTTTGAACAAACATCTGTCCAAAAAGTGTTCTGTTATATGGGTGTCATATACAGTTGAAGTCATAATTATTAGCCCCTCTTTGATTTATTTTCTATAAATATTTCCAGAATGATGTTTAATAGAGCAAGGAAACTTTCACAGTATGTCTGATAATATTTCTTTCTTCTGGAGAAAGTCTTGTTTGTTTTATTTCAGCTAGAATAAAAGCAGTTTTTTTTAAAAAGTTATTTTAAGATCAATATTATTAGCCCGTTTAAGATTTATATTTTTACGTAGTCTACAGAACAAACCATTGTTATACAATAACTTGCCTAATTACTCCAACCTGCCTAGTTAACCTAATTAACCTAGTTAAGCCTTTAAAATCTCACTTTAAGCTGTAAAGTGTCTTGGAAAATATCTAGTCAAGTATTATTTACTGTCATTATGTCTAGGATAAAATAAATCAGTTATTAGAAATGAGTTATAAAAACTATTATGTTTAGAAATGTGTTGAAAAATATTCCCTTTGTTGAACAGAAATTGGGGAAAAATTATTCAGGGGGGCTAATAATTCCTAGTTCAACTATAGCTGTCGAAAAGGAGTGTGTGTGTGTAATTAAAGTATCTCATTTACTATATTCAAAGCCTTCTCATGGCATTGACGGTTTGTATGCTGTTACAGATGAAAACAAGACTGTGATGGTGAAATTGGGTGATGATGTCACACTGCATAGTGATGCTCAAATATTGGCAGAAGATCACATCGTCTGGACATTTGAAAATAGAAGTGCTTTTATTGCTGAAATCAAGCAAGAGGTCAGAGAGACGTTTGATGCTCATGGGATATTCACTGACAGACTGATGCTGGATGAGACTGCATCTCTGACCATCAGAAACACCGGACTTGACCATTTCGGATACTATATATTAAAGGTCCGGAGAATTGGCGGGTTTACCTTTTACAAAAGATTCCATGTTGTCGTCAGTGGTGAGTAACTCCTTTTGGGTTGAGTGATATGGTCAAAACTTAATCTGTTTTATAGAGCTGTGGAAAAAATTAAGAGATTACGATTCTTATATTCTTGGATTTACATTTTATAGTTACAGTATGTGTTTACATAAAATGTAATGTTAGTTTTAATCTCTAAATAATTAATGACACTTCTTCCAAATTTAAAAAATATATATTTTTTAAATTAAATGACAAAAGTGTATTGTTTTAGACATTTTGAAATGAATTTTTACATAACACTATAACGATTTTCATAATATATCAGGGGACAAATCGATATCGGCCGATAAATATAACTCATCTTTATTATTGCATCTAATAACAAAAAGTGTCATGTTTTCAAACATGTTGACATCTATTTTCAGATGACACAGTATCAGAAGGGATGCCCAATATACAGTTTATCGGTAGCTATATTGACATTAGCTGAAAAATCAACCATTTTTTTGCATTAAATAACAAAAAAGTGTCATGTTTTCAAACATGTTGACATCTATTTTTAGATGACACAGTATCAGAAGGGATGCCCAATATACAGTTTATCGGTAGCTATATTGATATTAGCTGAAAAATTAACCATTTTTTGCATTAAATATCAAAAAAGTGTCATGTTACTGTATCGGTGGTTATATCAATATCAACCGATAAGTATAACTTTTTTTATCAAAAAACAAAAAAGTACTTTGTTTTAGACATGTAAAAATTCATTTTTAGACAACACAATACCAATATACATGCAAAATATTTTGGTGGCAATATCGATATCGGCCCATAATTATAACTCATTATTTTTGCATTAAACAACAAAAACACACCATGTTTTCAAACATGTTGAAATCCATTTCTAGATGACAAAATACAGTGAGAGATATCCGATATATATCAGTGGCCATACAGATATCAGCTGATAAATATAACTTTTTGTTTCATAAAATATTAAAAAAGTGCTGTGTTTTTAAACATGTTCAAATTCCTTTATATACAATATAATGCCAATATTGATGCACAATATATCGGCGGTCATATCAATAACAGCCTCTAAATATAACTCTTTGTTTGCATCAAATAACAACAAGTGTCAGGTTTTCAAACATGTTGAAATCTATTTCAAGATGACACAGCATTAATAGGTATGCCTGATATACAGTATATCAGTAGCTATATTGATATCAGCTGAAAAATCTAAAAAAATTTTGCATTAAATAACAAAAAAGTGTCATGTTTTCAGACATGTTGAAATTAACAGAACACCGATATTGATGTATGATATACTGTATCGGTGGCCGTATCAATATCAGCTGATAAGTATATATTTTTTAATCAAAAAACAAAAAAGTTCTTTGTTTTAGGCATGTCAAAATTAATTTTTTTTGACAACACAATATTTTAGGGGGATATCGATATCGGAGGATAATTATAACTCCTTATTTTTGCATCAAATAACAAAAACACACCCATGTTTTCAATCATGTTGAAATCCATTCCTAGATGGCAAAATACAGAGAGATGCCCAATATATATCAGTGGCCATACCGATATCAGCTGATAAACAACTTTTTTTCATAAAAAATAAAAAAAAATGCTGTGTTTTCAGACATTTTAAAATTCCTATATAGACAATACAATGCCAATATTGATGCACAAAATATATCAACAACAGCCAATAAATATAACACTTTGTTTGCATAAATTAACTACAAGTGTCATGTTTTCAAACATGCTGAAATCCATTTTTTAGACAACACAATACTGGTAGGGATGCCTGATATATATTGGGGGCCATATTGATATTAGCCAATTAATATAACTTTTTGGCATCAAGTAACAAACAAGTGCTATGCTTTCAGACATAATGAAATTCATTTTTAGAAAAAACAATAGAGATGCCCAATATATATCGGTGGCCATATTTAAATCAGCCGATAAATAAAATAAATTAAGGTGGCATGTTTCAGACATGTTGAAATTCATTTTTAGACAACACTGTATCGATAGTGATGCCCAATATATATATATATATATATATATATATATATATATATATATATATATATATATATATATATATATATATGTTGAAATTCATTTTATACAACATGATACCAATAGCAACATCAATATCGAGCAATAATTGCTATTTTTATTGTTATGTTTTCAGTATGATAACACAATTAGGCCGATATCTGTAAGCTGATAAATTGTTCATTATTTAAAGTGGTTGGACCACTTTACATACTACCTGGTTGACACTTTCTAATTATTATTTTACTGGTACTTAGAGTTTGGTTAATGTTCAGTGACTTGGTTGCTTTATTTATGTCTATGTAGATTTTGTTATATAAAAGAGAGTTAAGTTCAGAGGTCAGCTTTTAATATAAAATTGATTGTTCGCAGTACTGTATGTGTTCAACTTTAGTTTTTGCAATCATACAGAATATTTTGAAAAATTCTAATATATTAGCTATCGGGCTCAAAATCTAAAGATATCGGTTTTCGGTATAGGTCAAAAATTTTGTATTGGTGCATTTCTAGATTACAATGTTTGGATTTTTGATACATTTAACAGATCAATATTTGGTGGAATAACCCTGATGAAATTTGAATATTTAAAACTGTTATTTTAAGTGTGAAAGAAAATTTCTCTGATCATTTTAGAATCAAACTATTTTACAGTTTCCATAGCTGAAATGCTCTACTGTTCTGCTGTTTGATGAAGTAAAATCAGCATAAAAAAATGGAATTGTTCGATCTGATGGTGAAAAAATTAGCTTAAAGGTTCAGGGTTTAGAATTGTCTCTTTCTACATGCAGATTTCTCAGAGGAAGATTGGAGGATGTTGGTGATGGAGGGAGATGATGTCACCCTAAATTCTGGTACCGAACTGGATGAAAATGTGCATGTGAAGTGGCTGTTTGGAGATGAGTGCCTGAAGTCACCCATAGCTGAAATCAGCGGAGCGACCGGAGAGATTCTTACATATGATGGTAATGTTAACGGGAGATTCAGAGACAGACTGAGGCTGGATCATCAGACTGGATCTCTGACCATCATCAAAACTGGCCCTGAAGACTCCGGAACCTTTGAAATCCAGACAATGAACTGCAAAAGGACTCACTTTGGACACAGGATGGTTTCCGTCAATGGTAAGTAGAGCAAATCAGCACAATAAATTATGATTTACAGTTGTTCTTCATTATACATTTATTAATTTGTTTTTGTATCCAGTTAATTTGTAAGTATGGTGATCCATACTCAGAATTTGTGCTCATCATACACACATAAACATAGCGGTGAACACACATTTCTTCCTGCCGGGACTCAAAGCTTCGATTTCCTCCATCATAAGTCTCACTTTCTAACCATTATGCCATGGCTGCCCCATTCAGCTTGATCAGCTTGATCAGCAAAAAAGGGAAAACGCTCCTAAAACTGAAAGTTCTGTCATCATTTACTTACCCTGTGCTTGTTCCAAATCATGACATTCTTCATTCTGTAAAATCCAAAATAAGATATTTTGAGAAAAGTGTAGAATCGCTGTCTATTGACTTCCAAGCAGTCAGAATGAAGACGTCCACCGCTTGAGAGGAGTTCAGAGAACACAGACTTGTGAACTTTGGTTCCGACCACAGTTGTTCCCAAGGGTTTGATTATTGCAGTCACTGGATTTTCAATTATTTACAATGTTTTCTTACAGGAACATACGTTAAATAAGTTTCTGGCGAGTTACTGATGTGCTTTAATGCTATATAAATTTATCTTTAAAAAAGCAGGAATCACATGCGGCAATACAAAACAGTATTGCTGCTTTAGGATATTTTAGACATATAGACACATTTGGATAATTAAGTGAAGCAAAGCCTCACCACATGCATCTCGATCTTCCATTGTTAAATTAATTTTATTAGAAGTGCGCAACATTTTCACACTAGAAAGCACTCTTTTTGCAGGAATGTAACCGATATGCTGCAACGGCCCTTTTAAAAACGAGATTAATGTAGCGAATTTTGACGCTCTCGCCTCCGGAGCTAAAGGCAGACAGCATTGTCACCAGGGCAGACAGAGAGAACTTAGATGCTCACACTGCTTTCACTGTGAACGCACAGTTAGTGTTAAAATGGCATTTTACAACGAAAATGATGTACATCCACACCGTGTTTCACCGTGCATTTCTGAACAGCCCTCTGTCTGCTAAAAACGCACATTACGTGACCACACACACACTGTCATGAGCTCGTCTGAGCTCGAGAGAGCAGTGCAAGTCTCACTATAGTTATCTAATGACTTCGGTCTTTTGAATCTATCAGGTAACGTCACAGCATCAGTACACTGCTTCGGTCTTTCCTCAGAGACTGTTGGTTGTGCACCTTTTTTACCGACCAACCTCCTGCAGAAAAAGTGATTGACAGGTGGTAATTTGTGTGCAACTTCTCTTTATTTATGATTTGCTTATGGGTAAAACAAAGACCAGGCGGGTCAGGTAGTTGAAACGGAAGGCTACAAACAATTTATTCGTAATGAATTAATTAAATATTCCTAAATAATTAATTTACCTTTGGTTATGACAACGATACCATCGTCTATCATGATGTTTCACATTAGACATCGTACGATGCCAAATTGGTTGACATCTCCCAACCCTAGAATCCCTTGAAAAGCACCACCCCATGACCCCTTGTTTGTATTGTAGTAGTATGATGATTCTGTGTAAAACCACTGATGAAACAACATCTCAATGATCATTCTTGGTATAATGGCAACACTATTTTCCATATTTTTCCATGTCTGAAATGAAGAAAGGAGGATATCAGTGGAGGAGGGAAAGAACGTCACTCTTGAGATTGATTCTGAAGTACAGCATGATGATCAGATCCTGTGGATGTTTGGTGTTGATGAGACTCTGGTAGCTCAAACCAGAGGAGGAACTATAGAGACGCATGATGATGCTGCTGATGGGAGATTTGCAAACCGACTGACGCTGGAAGAGTCTGGATCTCTGGCCATCAGTAACATCACAGCCGAACACACTGGAGTCTATAAAGCGCAGATCATCCGTCGTGGAAAAACCTCATACAAGAAATTCAAGGTCGTCATGCTTGGTAAGAAACTTATTTTTGAGTTTGTTTATAAATTTTTTGAGTTATTACGCATTTAAATTAGTGCTTGGCAATAATGTTTTTAATCAAAATTTTTCGCAAATGTTTTCTTGGACAAAAGGGTAAACAATTTGAAAAAAACACAAGGGTTAATGTGTTAAAATCTCTTAATTTCTCTTGTTTCTGTGTGCCATTGTAATCTGAAGCTGAGTTTGTGCCAGTGAAGAAAGGAGAAGACGTTACACTTCACACCGACTATAAAGTAAAGGCAGAAGATCAGATTCAATGGAAGTTTGGACATAAAAACTCTCTTATAGCTGAAATGAACGGAGAGAGCAGAGAGATCACTATGCATGACGATGTTCTGAACGGAAAATTCAAAGACAGACTGATGCTGGAAAAGGAGACTGGATCACTGACCATCACAAACGTCACCACTGACCTCTCTGGAGTCTATAAAATGAAGATCAGCACAAGCGCAGGAACGTCTACAAACAAGAGCTTCAATGTTTTTGCCACAGGTGAGTCACTCAATGTGGTAATGAGGATCACAATTGTTCTTTAAACATTCATTTGGCTCAAACTGCTTAAAAATAAGAAGTGGGCATAGAATTTTTTTTTTTAATATAGATTAGTCTCATTGTAATCTTGTAATTAATCTAGATTAAAATGGCTCATTTGAATTATGTTTTCATCACACCTAACGAACAGACAACGCAGATCAGAGTAAGTTCACTACTACTAGTAGTAAACAACTAGCAATAATCAAGAAGCAGGCATAATGTGGTGGTAATTTGTGGTGTCATGGTAATTTATATGCTAAGTAATTAAATTAAATTATATCTCATAAAATTACATAACGTAGCCTACCTAAAGCAAAGGAGTGAAGTTCCCAGCTGACATTGATAAGGTGCCTGTTCAAACTAATTAATTAAATTAGCTGAATAAACACAATTCTTGAGATTTTCAGCAACAGCTTAATTGTTTTATGTTCAATTAAAAAGCAAAATTATGAGTTCGCTTAGTTTCTAAATGTGATTCACCAATTGATACACTTTAAAAAGTGATTAGTTACTTAAAGCGAGTAAACCAGTTGCCTTAAAAAGCTACATGTTGACTTTACAAAAATAATGTAAGTAAACCCGTTGTAACTTGGAACTGTTAAGTTGACTTAATTTTTCAAATTATGCTTATTGTATGCTAGTTGTAATTGTATGCTAGTTTTTAAAAAATAAAAAAATAAAAGTACACTAATCACTTTTTCCCAATACAGCTTTATTATATTTGTTTTTTTTCGTTATCTAGCAAAATGACATAAACTAAAATAAATCTGCTCTTCCAGACTCCAGCTTGTCTTTTAAATTCAATACAGGATTATAGTTGTAGATTTTATAGACGTAATGAACCACCAAATATGTAATATTGTAATAATTACAGTAATTTTTTGAAAACAGACGTGCTAAAAAAGTCTGATACTGTAAAAAGGATTAGTTGGTTATAAAAGAATGAGTACAACTAGCATATTCATAAAAATTAAGTCAACTTAACAGTTCCAAGTTACAATAGGTTTGTTTACATTATTTTTGTGAAGTCAACGTGTTGCTTTTAAGGCAATTGGTTTACTTGCTTTTAGTAACTAATCACTTTTTACAATGAAGTGTGGATCCCATATAGTAAAAATATGTTGGGCTCCACTCAATTCCTTCATGTTGTCACAACACAAATCTATTCAGTTTACTGCATACTTAGTTTTATAATACATAATAGATACAGTTGAAGTCAGAATTATTAACCCCCTGTTTATTTTTCCCCAGTTTCTGTTTAACAGAGAGAAGATTTTTTTCAACACATTTCTAAACATAACAGTTTTAATAAATCATCTCTAATAACTGATTTATTTTATCTTTGCCATGATGACAGTAAATAATATTTGACTAGATATTTTTCAAGACACTTCTATACAGCTAAAAGTGACATTTAAAGGCTTAACTAGGTAAATTAGGTCGACTGGTTAGGTTAGGGTAATTAGGCAAGTTATTGGATATATAACGATGGTTCGTTCTGTAGACAGTCGAAAAAAATATAGCTTAAGGGGGCTAATAATTTTGACCTTAAAATGGTTCATTAAGAATTTAGAACTACTTTTATTCTAGCCGAAATAAAACAAATAAGACTTTCCCCTGAAGAAAAAATATTATCAGGCATACTGTGAAAACGTTCTTGCTCTGTTAAACTTCGTTTGGAAAATATTTTAAAAAGAAAAATAATTCTGACTTCTTTAAATTCTGGCTATTAATTCTGACTTCAACTGTACACAATTTTTACAAAATTGTACTGAATTATAAAAGGGGATTGAATTTAAAACAATTAAGTTGTCTCAAAAATACCTCAAGTATTGTGTTGCTTCAGCTCATTTAAAATAAGTAGTTTGAAGAAGCAGCAAAAGCCATTTTTAAATGAAAATGTAGGTATGTTTTTATTTGATTATAATTTTTTTATCTGAAATTGGGGTCCTTGGCGATTCATAAAAGTAAAATACAGACACTTTAAGAGTCAAAGAAAAAACAGCTTTACAAGCAAAACTGAAATATTACTGCTTTTTATCAATCCGAATGAACTGAATCCAATAACAGATCTGTTGTTCAACTTATCCAGCAAATGTTTTACGCAGCGGATGCCCTTCCAGCTGCAACCCCGCACTGGGAAACACTCATACACTCTCACATTCACTCTCACTCATACACTACGGCCAATTAAGATAATCCAATTCACCTATAGTGCATGCCTTTTGACTATGGGGGAAACAAAAGCACTCAGAGCAAACTCAAAACAGAAATGCCAACTGGTCCAGCCGGGACTCAAACCAGCAACCTTCTTGCTGTGAGGTGACAGTGCTAACCACTGAGCTACAGAGATGCCCAAACATCCAAAGGAATTTTTTATATTTAATGTTTTTATAATTGTATAGTCATTTCAGTTGTATTTTTGATTTTCTGTACTTATAATAAATTGACAAAATTATTTGTGATATTTTGTTATTATGAAAAACTCCAATGGCAAAATTTTCTTTGTAAATTTGTTTCCATGCGCTGCAGTGACAAGTAAAGTGAGCATAACATCAGAGGAGGAGGAAATGAATGGTGAGTCTATTTTTTTGAATATCCTTAAAGCAATTTGTTGGTCCGATGTGTGTGTGATCTTCATTCAGTTTTCAAACACAGTATATATGACCATTAACTATCAGTCACATTTGTTTGTTAAAAAAGAGCTTAAACTGAATTATCAAATGTGCTTCTAAATGTGTGTTAAATATTTTGTATATTGCAAATGCTTGACATTAAGGTTGATGTGTCACATACTGTCAATATGACTAAATCCAGATCATTTTTCTCAGTAATTTGTTGTTGTCTGTATTTTTTTTTTGTTTTATTAGCAGAAAAGGAAGTGATTGAGTCATCTACTGTAGACATGCAGCTGTTGAGTGAAGAAGCTCCTGTCAGGATGACTAGCATAAAGGGGACGAGTTCACTTTAATGAGATAAGACACACCCACTGTTGTCAATCACTGTGACATCATCAAAATTTGCACTATAGTTACAGTTGAAGTCAGAATTATTAGCCCCCCATGAATTATTAGACCCCCTGTTTATTTCTTTCCCTAATTTCTGTTTAACAGAGAGATTTGTTTCAACACATTTCTAAACATAAAAGTTTTAATAACTAATTTCTAATAACTGATTTATTTTATCTTTGCCATGATGACAGTACATAATATTTGACTAGAGATTTTTCAAGACACTTCTATACAGCTTAAAGTGACATTTAAAGGCTTAATTAGGTTAACTAGGCAAGTTAGGGTAATTAGGCAAGTTATTGTATAAAGATGGTTTGTTGTGTAGATTTTCAAATAAAAAAATGGCTTAAAGGGGCTAATAGTTTTGTCCTTAAAAAAGTCTTTAAAAAAAAATCAACAACTACTTTTATTTTAGCTGCACTAAAACAAATAAGACTCTCTTCAGAAGGAAAACTATTATCGGACATACTGTGAAAATTTCCTTGCCCTGTTAAACATCATTTGGGAAATATTTAAAAAAGCAAAAAAAGGTCAAACGGGACTAATAATTCTGACTTTAACTGTACATCAACACAATTTACCTTACAACATTTACTCCTGAATCCGTCCAGTGAAACAAAAAAGTATTTTGTTTGAGGACGCCAATCGTACTATGGCTTCAGTGAAAGTGAATTGAAAAAGTGAAAGTGAATTAATACTTTTGAGTATGTCACACATCACACTAATTACTGTCTTAGCTGTATGACTTTCGTAGCTTGAATTTTGTATTGACGTAGACAGTCTACGACCAAAGTATCATATATGGCTTTTATAATATGTATTATAAAATAGACAGTGATTAATTCTTGATTCTGATTGGTTGAGTAGCCTTTGAAGGAATACTCTACAAACTCTGTGACTTTTTTTAGTATTGAGCTAAGGACAGTTGTGTTTGATTTCCGTTATTTGGTGAGTCTTTGCTATGTATTTGAACTAACCGTTTTATAAAAGAGATAAATCCTGTGAAGTCATTGTTTACAGTGAATTTAGAGCAGCTATAAGGGAGTTTAGGCACTCTGCTCAATGTTATATTATGTTATAACGCTACTCAGTTGTTAAATATACACTGTAAAACATGGCTTCTCTGGGTTTATTGCTTTATTTTACCACAGTAGTATTTTTCTAACCATTGTGTATGCTGCTTTGAATTTTAATCAACACAAATTTAGCAATTATAACCTCACACGACCTTCTCCTCATGTATGTAAACATCTGTGCCACATTTATTCAATTTCAGTGTGTATGACAATTATGGCAATTAGCCAACTACTCATCTACACTAAAGTAACATTTTGTATTTTACTTTGAAATTGTAAGCATTATGCCTTTTTATTGCACTTTTTCACATCCAATAAAGCACTTTATTTAAAATTTAGCATTAATGAATGAGTTTTGCTGTATTCAATAAAAAAAACTTTTTGTTTGCTTTTGAATAGAATAGCAACTCATATTGGGCCTGCTGTAGCCATGGTACGGCAACCAAATTCCTCAATATTTTGCCAGAATTAGAGTATAGTTCCTAGACATAACGGCCTAGAAAATATACATTTTTCATTTTCTGTTGATCTTAGTACACAATGTAACTACAGGTGAGTCTAGTTTTAAATTGGAAAGCTATCTAAACTATTTACTCATTTTTGACATGCTAATGGTCTAATCCAATTCAATGATCTATGCTAAGCTAAGCTAAATTTGGCTGAAATCAAATGAATGGTATAAAAATGGTAAAACTCAACTGTTTAAGTCTAGGGGAGTTATAAAATGAGCCTTTCCTCCCAAATTGACCAATGGCATCCCTTCACATTCAGCTTATCTGTCTCGTATCAGTTGACTTTTTTAGTATTGGGTATCTGAAATATTTTAGTCATCTGTGTTTAGACTTTATGCAAATTTTTTTTAAAAATTGCCTTACTTTGTTGAGGTTTGATATGTTTATGGTAGAAGTGTTTTGCTTTGTATATTGTATATTTAACACAGTTGCGAGCTCCATTCTCTGTACTAACTTGTTTAAAAAGCAAATCTGAATTCAATAAAATACTTAAATTATCCACCTTAAGTATAAAAAAACATTTAGGTTTTCAACTGAAGATCATTTTTTGATCAAACTGGATTAAATTAAGACACAAATAATCTTTAAACTGCTTCAGCTCAACATGTAAAGTTTATTGAAGTATATTTGGCCTTTACAGATGTTAAATGTTGGCATTCCCGAGGATGTTAGTCTCTCTTCTTCTCTGATTGTTCAGCTTATTTAGCAATCTGAAACGAAAACAGGGTGTTAAAAGATATTCTTATCATCATTGCTTTATTTTAACGACTATATAAATTCATAAATTGCACTTACGCCATTAATCCAGCTGATGTAGGCAGAGACGCGAGTGAAGACGGTTGGCTTCTGGTAGGCGTTACAACCGGATGAAGACACAAAGCTGGTCACACCGTGGACGACGTACTGACCGCTGACCTGACAGTTCAGAGGACCGCCAGAGTCACCCTATAAAAAAAACATAACAAGAATTACACTCTGTACTTCAATACCAAATAGTTTTAGACTGTTTTTTTAGATGGTCACCTGGCATCCAGACAGGCTTCCGCCACCAGCGCAAACCATGGTGTTCTTCACGGTGCTTCCCCACCAGTCACCACGAGAGCAGGTATTGTAGTCGACCACGGGCAGATAGGCCTGTTTCAGCTGAGCGGAGAGGGAGCCACCAGCTGCAGGAGAGAAATAAAGTAGAAAGAAACGCTTCAGGAATCAGCAAACATCAATCATTTCTGGCAACACATGAGTCATTTAAAAAAAACATAAGTCAACGTTACTGGAAGTGAGGCCCCAGCCAGTGATGTAGCAGGCGTTGTTGTGGGGCAGAACCTGTCCAGAGGGGGGAAGAGTGCCCAACTGCACGTATGTGTTCAGGGAGGCGTTGGAGGACAGGCGCAGAAGAGCAATATCATATCTGAGAGTAAAAACAGTTTAAAACACACATTTCGCTCGTGTTGGAAGCTAGGGGGCGCTATAACCTTTAGAAAATGTTTAATATTATTATGGGTTGATAAAATAAGTAGTAAAATCATGGTAACTGCAAACTTTTTCTGAATTTTGGCCAAATGTTTGATGGAACTAAAGTAAGCTAACATTTGAAACATGATTAATTTATATTTATTTGTTTTATTTACATTTTTTTAAGAAGATGCCATATTCAATAAAATGAAAGATTGTAAAAAACATTGTCATGCACAAGGAGTTATATGTTCAGTCTACAGACATGTGCGAGTATGTAGCTCTTTCAATCCAAAAATACTAATTAAACTTGAGAGGAAAACTGGAATATTGCATAAAACATTTGTGAATAAAGCAGCCTTTCCATCCAATGAGTCAAAAATAACATCACTTAGTGATAAATGTGCCAGATATTAAAAAGAAAAAACTAATTTGCTGCAGTAGGATAAGCCTTTTTTGTCTTGTATAAAAATCAACGCATGTCAGAAAATTAAGATAAATCAAACATTTTTGGTTTTGACAAGGTTGTTGCGGCATCACAAAACATTTCCAAAACTTTGCAGTCTAAATGTCAAAAAAAGTCTAAAAGTAATTGATAAACTCAAGTCTGAGGTGTTCATATTATGCTTTAATTTTGTAAAGTTGCATACCATGTGTTAAAGTTGAATATGTGATGCGTTTAAGTAGTGTGGATTACATGAAATGTATTTAATAAGGTTATAAATGTAACAAACTAGCAGCAGCAAACAAGTCCTAAAGTCTTTTTATATAGGCTACAATTGACAAGCAAAATGGCAGCATTTGCGTTATGAAGGTTAGGAAAGGAAACCGCGCGAAAGTGAAAGTACACCCGGTCGGTATAAAGCGGAGTGATATTATTGGCTACATTAGCCCTGTGTTGTGTATATTCGCCAGACTCGCCACAGTGTATGTTCTGTTTACCCAGCAGCCACGTTGTTCCTGTTCCAGTTGGGGTGGATGTAGACATTGCTGACGGTCATGTACTGCTCACGGCCCTCCTGTTTGTAGATGTCGTGCTCACCGAGGACAACACGCCAAGTTCTTGAGCTACACAAGATGGAAGAAGAAATGTTAATTGTATACGGGCCTACTGCCTTTTCACATCCTTAATGTCGAAAGTGGTAAAAAGTCATTTGACAATAAATGAATGAAGGTAAATTCGACAAACAAATGTGCATATTATTAGGTACATAATGGTTGGACATTTGGAGTATCTTGTCTTTTTTGCAGTTAAAGTTAAATTATATCAATTTAGGTTAGCCTATTTTTATTTAATGCACAATCAATGTGAAAAAAAAAAAAACTAGTATTGTGGCCTATAGTAAATAACAGTGTTTTCAAACCATTCTAAAGTACTTAAATGACTGTTGTTGTGATTCTATATGGTAACAACAACTTTAGTAAGATTAAACATTGCCCAGTACTGTCGTATTCTGCAAGGGTATATTAGGCTATACTACAATACACCACAGTTTACTATAATAAGTACAGCATGCATTACCTTTTATCAGCTCACAATAGTTAATGCTACAGTTGCTGTATTCATTACCATAGTAGTAAATACTATAACATACTTTTACACATACATTTTACTATAATATGGTTCAAAAGCACTGTAGTTTTCAACTATATATTACTACATAATTTAAAATCTTTTCACATGGGAATTATTAGGCTTCAAGTAGTATCTAGAATCTAAAAATATATTGCAAACACCTTGAACGTTACTCACAGCTGCCACCAGAGGGCGAACTACGACAATAAACAGTAGTCAACATTCTAAGTGGATCATCACATTTCAACAAAGTTGTCCTAAAGATCTAGAACAACATCCATTCTTGTCCTAGAACAATGTTGAAAATATTTTTGATTCACTTCGAATGTTGACTACTCTATGTGTCGCCTCAGATTCATACTACTGACATTGTTTATTTGCTTTTTTAACCATCTAGAGACAAAAGACGTGGATTCCTTACGTATCAACGCAGTGAGCGGCGGTCAAAACAAAGTTCTGTTTGATCAGAGTTCCACCACAGGTATGGTAGTAGCTGCCGCCAGACAGATACTGGAGAGAGATCTGGAATAAAGAGATCAAAATTTTAATAAGAATTAGAAGACAAGAGGAGAAAACAGTAGAAACGCAGCTTTTTAAATAAACGTCTTCAAACAAAATGAGAAAAAAAGTCAAATTAGCTTACTGAACTTCATATACTGTAGTGTATTTTTTAATTGTTACTATAATGTTTTAATCCATACTAGGGTAAAGCATATTATACAGTATATGTTTTAGTATTTACAGCTCTTAGTCAATTTCTGTAGTATTAACTAGAGTGAACTGTTCATAAACATACAGTAGTATCCTTTAGTATGTACTACAGTAAACTGGTGTATTGTAGTATAGTATAGGTAGGCATGCAGAATTCTGCAGATTTTTAGCCCATCATTGATTCTGTTTATTTACTTGAGTAAATGTGTGTAAATCTTTATTTATTCATTTTTTTATTAATTTCAGTAATATTATTGACTAATGTGAAAATGTTCATTTGATATATGTACAATACAGTTTGTACAGTATTATTTTCTGTCTTTCACTAGATATATTTTATGACAAACTTGCTTTATTTACCAAATAAAGTGAATCCAATTGAATTTGCATTTTAAACATTAAATAAAAGTTAATAAGATGTTATTTTTTATTTCATATATTAAGGTTTTAGTTATGATACTCCCAAAATGATTACGCAGAAATCCGCAGAATTTTATCAAAATTCTCTGCAGAAATAGCAAAAAGTGTCCGCAGATTCCATTTGGCCCTAATATAGGCTATGGTCGTAGAAAACTACTGTATTGGGTCATTTGTTTATATTACTATAGTTGCCATGCATCTATAGAGACTATAGAATTAAGACAACAGCTTGATTCAAGAGGTATAATTTACTATAGTATGGTTCGAAAACAATACATTAGTTACTATAAATTATATAGTATTTTTTCATGTGAGTTTTCTGAACTTCCTAAAAATGTTTTGCTAATTAAGTGTACACTATATTTGGTCAACTTGCCATACACTGTTTTAATTGTCTTGTCTTAAAATTGTAAGGGGATTTTCTGTGGAGCTTTATTAGTTGACTCAACTTAAATCGAGTCAAATGCAGAAAAGTTGAGTCAACTCAAAAAAAAAAAGCTGTGCAGCATGTTGCCTTTCAACAGTCAACTTACTTGGTCATCTTTTTAAACAGTGAATTACTGTATATAAAAATAATAACGCATTTTATCTGAAATGTGCTTTTCTTAAATCCAACATTCTACATGACGAATACTTACTAAAAAATACAGTACAATACCCAACGCCTTAAATTAAGAACATGCTTAAAATATGTCCTAATTTATTTTTAAAGTGATCCAAAGTTAGTGCCTTTCGGATATTCACTATTTGTTGAAGTAGTAAGGTTAAAAGATATATAAAATACATTAAAATTTCAATGAAATTAAGTAAAGTAACTTGACTACCTGGTGGAACCATCTATGGAGAATCACCAAAGAGGCTAACTACTGAGATTTAAGAGTTGAATTATAATTATATTTCATTTGAAAAATGATTATACCTGCCAGGGCCAAGAGTTGGGTCTTGCGACTTCTCCACCGACAACTCTCTCCTGAGCAATCTGTTCCTCCAGATATCTGGGCTCAGCCAGGGCTGGACACAAAACGCACACTTATACAAATTAGCATTGCGGTTTGATTCTATTATCTAAATTCAATTTTGTGTTTTTTTCTTAACAGAAAGAGAGAAAGATCTTACCCAAAGCGGCCAGCACACTCAACAACAGGATCCTCAGCATGTTTGCAGTCTTTCTGGACCTTCTGCACTCTGAGCTCCTCCATCATCCCTATATATACACACCCACAGACGGTCAAGCGGCGCTGGACACAACAGGTTTTCTGATGCTTACAGGTGTGTGAATCCCACCGATAACACCGGTGCCAAGGCCAGCGTGCCAGATGCAGAATAAGCAATTTTTTCTGCTTTGATAATGTTTAACCTGAATAAGTTAAACAATAAGTCTTATATACAGTAATGTAAAGTTTAAATAAATGCACACATTTTAACGCTCCTACCCGTCAAAAGTTTGGGCTCATTAAGTTTTTTAAATGTTTTAAAATAAGCTTCTCCTGCTCACCAAGGCTGCATTTATTTCATCAAATATACAGTACAAATTCTAAAATTGTGAAATTTTATCGCACTAAAAAAACTGTTCAAAAGTAATTTATCATTTAATTTAATCATTTATTTCAGTGATTTTAATGATGATTTTTCAGCTTCATTACTCCAGTCTTTAGAGTCACATGATGCTTTATAAATCACTCTAATATTAATAATAATAATAAAGATGATAATAATTATTATTAATATTATGATTAATTGTAATTGTAATATAAGCAATAACGACTGGAGTAATCATTTTATTTGAAACTACACACAATAAAATAAAACAGTTATTTAAAAATTGTTAGAAATATTTAACAATTTAACTATATATATATATATATATATATATATATATATATATATATATATATATATATATATATATATATATATATATATATATATAATTTTTTATTTTTATTTTTATTTTTTCAAATTTTTATTTTGCATTTAATAAATGCTGCCTTGATGAACAAAATAATTTACTTCAAAAAAAAACTGACCCCAAACTTTTGACCGGTTTTTTTATATAGTTCAACAACAATTCATATTTCTAGTAATTTATTTATTTTTTTTTTGTAGTTTTGTGTATAATCCTGTTAGTTAAACACAAAAAAAACATTCATCTCAGGTTGCACAGACTATGCTTAAGGCTAGTCTTATTAAATTGCATGCTTGAGCTGTCTTAACTAAAAGTAACTTGCAGTTAAATACCTTAAAATACCTTAGTGGCATTGTTTTGTCCCCAGAATTAACACCAACAATATGTTTGTTTGTTTTTTTACAGCATTTTCATAAAAGTGGCTTTAATACGCTAATTTAACTAAGTTCTCGTCCTGACTTAAGCTAAGCCTTGTTCGTTAAGCTGGACCTATATCTAATCAATTCTATTAATTATATGTGTGCATAGACTCTTTAATTATAATATTATTGGTAATACTTTATTTTGATGGTCCATTTTAGTATGAGTAGACTGTCTGCTTAATATCTGCTGATACTGCTGCTAAACAGACTAGAAGTAACTTTGCAAGTACATGTCAACTTACCCGAACCCTAACCCCAACCTAAAAGTCTATTTATAATCTAATGAGGATTAGTTGGCATGTAAATGCAATGTAACTTAATTCAACAAACAGGTCATCAAAATAAAGTGTAATCTTATTATTAATTATGCAGTATGATTTATGTATTATATCATAATATAAGTCATCTCTCAACCTGATAATGATATATATCACAATATACTGTAGCACCTTTTCTGTAAATTTACTCAATAAATAGTTTGTATAAATATCTATCTATCTATCTATCTATCTATCTATCTATCTATCTATCTATCTATCTATCTATCTATCTATCTATCTATCTATCTATCTATCTATCTATCTATCTATCTATCTATCTATCTATCTATCTATATATATATATATATATATATATATATATATATACACACATATACATATATGTATGTATATGTGTGTGTGTGTATATTAAGATATTTAGTAAGAAAAAGTGTCAATCCTATTCATATTTTCAAATTTATGTATAGATGGTTATTCCTAATTAAATATTTCTAAATGTAAAATAAATATTAATAAAATATAAAACACTTTTAAAAACTAGTGACTTTAGGACCAACAAACAAAAATATAATGAATTAATGAAATAAATGCTAAATATGAACATTGCAGCTTTTCCCCATGCTTTTATTCTCATTTCTGCCTTTATCATATTATTGCGCTCACACAAATGATGAAAAAATATCACCACAAAAACAAATGTATTTTACAACACCACAAAAAAATTGTGAAACGATAAACTTTATTTTGTCAATATGATGCGTATCATATTGCACAGTCTTAATGTTATATACAAAAATACAAATGCATTCATAATACATTCACATTTATATTTTGTCATTTAGCAGATGCTTTTTCCTACAAACCCTCTCACCTGTGAATCACACTTCATAAAATGCACAATGTCTTTTTTCATAATTTATTAATATTATTTTTTTAATAGTTTATGTACTTTATTTAGATGCAGCATGTCAATATACAGGATTGCTTGATTTATTTATTTTTTTTGTGAAATTGAACAATTTGTTTAAGTTAAAATATATATATTTTTTTTAAATCACAATTTATTTAACTATTCTATTAAAATTAGCAGTTTTCCTGCAGGTTTTATTATGTAGTGTATAGTCTACACTTATTATAGCGTGTGTGTGTGTATATATATATGTATTAGGGATGTAACGGTATTGTAAATACCGTCATACCGCAATATTAATTTTTTTCGATATTACCGTAAACTGTAATTTTTAAATTTACTGTAAAGCGGGGAGGGGGGGTTGAGCGCGCATACTCAAGAGCGGTGTTGTCGCGCGCCTACTGAAGGGCGGGATGGAGGGTGTGACACAGCACACTGTTAAGATTGATACAGACATGAGACCTCTATCTCACTCATGGCTTGTCCTCTCAAGTGGGGGAAAGACAATGTACAACGTTACCCACTGCTGTCAACCTGGGCCAAGTCATATCTCTCTGTCCCAGAAACCTCAGTCCCAAATGAGAGGGGTTTTTTCTGTTGCAGGGGACATTGTAAATACCCAGAGATACCAGCTTTTACCAGATTATATTTATATGATAATTTTCCTTAAAACCCATCTCTAAGTGAGTGAGTGATTAAATGTTGAATGTGATGAGTTTTCAACAATACTAAATTGAAACTTTATTTTTTTTTACATGGTTTAATAATTTTTTGTTATTAAAATTGAAGTTCCTGTTTGAAAGCTTACAGATAGATGGCTAATTTGTATGTCATTGACACTTTTGGCACTTTTTTGGAGTATTTTCATAAGTTTTGTTTTTTCCTGTAAATGTTTCAATAAATACCGTACCGTGACATTCATACCGAGGTATTACCGTACCGTGAAATTCTGATACCGTTACATCCCTAATATGTATGTATGTATGTATATATATATATATATATATATATATATATATATATATATATATATATATATATATATATATATATATATATATATATTCAATATAAGTTTTTTTTTTAATGAACTAGTTTTCAATGCTAACTAGTGTGGATTTCTGCTGACAGATCTGTTCTTTTGCAAATGGTACAGTGTGTGTTTGTACATTAAGAGCTGATGTTGATAAGGAAATGTTGGCTTCAGCATTATTGATAAGACTTCTGTTTGGCATTTCCAGGAGTTTTGTCACAAATGTCACCTGCAGGAGTAGAATGAGATGTTTTATACAGTATTGAACTTTAAAAGGATAGTTCACCCACCAAAAAATCACTATTTACGGTTATAAACTTTCATGAGTTTCTTTTTTCTTCAAAAAGAGAAGATATTTTGAAGAAAGAGGAAAAGCTGTAACCACTGACGTCTATAGTGGGCAAAAAAACAAATGCTACTGAAGTCAACAGCTATGTCTCCATCCACAAATGAGAATTAAACTTATTAGATGCTGGAATTTATTTCCATTTATACACATTTTCTTATCAGATATGAAGTTTATTCTACTCGGTTGTACAGATTTTTCAAAATGAAAGCACTTCTTGTCATTTCCATGAAGGCTTTTTCATGTGGTATTCCAAAATGCGCATATAAATACTGTAGACTGATGGAAAATAGCTAATGGTTACTGGTAGGGATGCACAATATATTATTTGAGCATTGATATCGCAATGTGTGTATACTCAATAGTCACATTGCAGAATTAGATGATTTCTTAAAGCATAAAATAGTATTACATTTTATCATTTTAAAATTATTTATACAATAATGTCCATGTTATTTTATGTTTGATTCTTCAGTTTCTGTGTCTGCATATTCAATTTAGTTCATCTTTATTTCTTTAGCACTTTTACAATGTACATCATGTCAAAGCAGCTTAACATAGAAGCTCTAGTAAATTGAAACTGTGTCAGTCCAATTTTCATAGTTGGAAGTTTGGTTTAGTTCAGTGTGGTTTAATTTTCACTGCTGAAAGTCCAAACAGTGAAGAGCAATTCCATCAATGCGCAGCTCTACAAGTCCCAAACCAAGCAAGCCAGTTGTAACAGTGGTGCGGAACAAAACTTCACCAGTTGACGAACGTGAAGGAGAAAAAACCTAGAGAGAAACCCGCTTGGCACTTTGGGCATGAACATTTCTTTTCTGGCCGAGTTTCTTGTGTAAAGATGCAGTCTAGGCGGCAAAGGCGTACTGTTAGACTCTGCAGAAAACCGTAAGGCACTATTTATTTCACTTTTATCTTTGCTCTGTTGTATTTATATATGGTTGTTATTCATTAGGATGTGTGCAAACACACTGCAAAGAAAAATATTCAAACATCCCAATCTATTTAAAAGAATGGAACATTTCTAAATAGAGCTGTTTGATTTATCTGGTGATTTTTTATTTTTTTTTTATATTGCAATACATATCACAGAAAAACACAATGTTGCTGATTTTTCCAGTATCATGCAGCCCTAGTTACCAGTTTCCAGCTTTCTTTAAAATATCTTCTTCGGTGTTCGATAGATGAAAGAAAATCAAACCAGTTTGGAAGTAAATGATGACAGAATTTTGAGTTTTGGGTAAACTCTGGAGTTTTAGGTGACTA